TGCAGTCCCTGACAGCCCACCACCACATTTTGTCAACTGCCAAGCGCCAGGTGCTGCAAGTGCGGAGCAGCGAGAGAACGCCCCTGCTGACGTGCCTGCTGGAGGGGTCACCAGGGAGGTGAGTGTGGGGGGATTGGGAGACAGGGGAGAATAGGATTGCAAATACGCCTGATCTCACTGTTAGAGCTAGACTAGACTAGAAACTCACATTTGTCCTTGTAATTTTTTATATCCTATTTGAGTGGTGTAAACTTTGTGCGTTGGGTTGGGAGGTGAGCCGTTGTGGGAGGAAAGGGGGATCACAAATTGGGTTCGGTCATGCCCTGCACTGCATGGTCCCATACTCATTCGTGTTTCGAGTCGAATTTTGAGTCGACTCAAAAGTCGACTTATCACACAGTGGGATCACCATCTGGATTCGGTCATGCCCTGCCCTGCATGGTCCCATGCTCATTCGTGTCTCCATTCCACCCATTCTGCTCTCACTGCAGTGGGAAGACGGCTCTTGCTGCTACAATTGCCATTTGATTATGCCCTGCATGATCCCATACTCATTCGTGTTTCGAGTCGAATTTTGAGTCGACTCAAAAGTCGACTTATCACACAGTGGGATCACCATCTGGATTCGGTCATGCCCTGCACTGCATGGTCCCATACTCATTCGTGTTTCGAGTCGAATTTTGAGTCGACTCAAAAGTCGACTTATCACACAGTGGGATCACCATCTGGATTCGGTCATGCCCTGCCCTGCATGGTCCCATGCTCATTCGTGTCTCCATTCCACCCATTCTGCTCTCACTGCAGTGGGAAGACGGCTCTTGCTGCTACAATTGCCATGGAAAGCGGTTTCCCCTTTGTTAAGATGGTACGTTGCTTCGCATATTTCCCCTCGAATTTCTAAACCTCATCCTTGTCACCTCGCCCCGTTGTCACCTTGTTTCCTGGTCACCTTCGTCTTACCATAATGCATGTAATATCCTGTTATACTCATGTCCGCTCACCCAAATTCGTTCCTTTGCTTCCTAATTGTGCCTCTCCCCCAAATCAACGGACCAGATTTCAGCAGAAACGATGGTGGGCATGTCAGAGCCGTCCAAATGCTCAGCCATAGCCAAGGTGGGTGATTAAGTACTGAGCTTATTGCGTTGTAATATCAGGAGCTTATTAGATTAGCAAAAACGATGGCAGATATGTCAGAACTGGTCAATTGTTCAGTCAGCCACAGCTACGGTGATGTTATCACTGATGAATGGTGTACTTTAATGTTTGATAGGAGTTTGTTTCTATGGTGATCGATGCATATGGTGACTACAGATATCGTAATGGTGGGGCACATGCACTCTTACCCTTGTGTCGTATACTCATGCTTCCTTCCATCTCCCTTCCCCCGCCTCTTCCAGGTGTTTGACGATGCGTACAAGTCGGCATTCAGCATCGTCATTCTCGACGACATAGAGCGCCTCTTTGAGTACGTCAGCATCGGCTTCTGAGGCACTCCGCAATCCCATTTGCATTGCTTCCTATCCTCCTTTTCCCACACCCACAGGTGTTTGACGACGCGTACAAGTCAGCCTTCAGCATCGTGATTCTGGACGACATAGAGCGCCTCTTTGAGTATGTCAGCATCGGCCCGCGCTTCTCCAACCTCGTGCTGCAGTCGCTGCTCGTCCTTGTTAAGCGGCTCCCACCTGAGGTAAGAATGGTCAAACTGTCGTCCACTCTTCCCCGCCTCCCACTTTCCCACTCCCAATGCCCTCTCCTACCTCCACTACCACTTACCACCACCTCCACCCATCCAACCCTCCCGCGCTTCTCCAACCTCGTGCTGCACTCGCTGCTCGTGCTCGTCAAAATGCTCCCCCCTGAGGTAAGAAGAAGGTACTTCCAGTGGTCAAACCCACCTCTCCACCCCTTTGTGTCATACAGTTCACAAGCTGTACGTGGTTGCAACCACCAGTCTACCCAAGGCTCTTCAGGAGACCATGCACCTCTCCTCCTCCTTCCCCCACCCCCCGCCTCGCTCCCTCACCCCCTCCTTCCCCCCTTCTCGCGCCTTCTCCTCCCCACATCCCCGCTTCCCCTCGCCTACCTCTTAATCCCCCCGCAGGGTCACAAGCTGTACGTGATTGCAACCACGAGCCTCCCAGAGGATCTCCAGCAGGCTATGCACCTCTCCTCCTCTTTCAACACTGTTCTCACCGTGCCCACGCTCTCTCGCATCGAAACCAAGGCGGTGAGTTGCCTTTATTTGGAACCTCCAGTGCTTGAAGCAGATGTTTCTGACACAACCATCGACGCTCTGATTTCTTGCTTAGCCCTTACGCGAGAATTCCTCATGTTTCTTCTCTACATTCTTCATTTTTTCTAATTGCCTTCCTCCTTGTTATGTCACTCTGCCCAGGCACCGAGGGAACTGGAGGTGTTTGAAGCAGACGATATTGACACTGCTATGAACGCCCACATGATCAATGGTTCCTCTCTTGCACTCCCTCTCTCCCCTCCCTTGCCAATTGCCCCCTTCCTTGCACAGGCGCTGAGGGAACTGGAGGTGTTCGAAGCAGACGACATTGACACTGCTGTGGATGCCCTTCACTCCACAGTGGAAGAGGTGAGCTTTGCACCACAATGTACCGCACTGCATCGCACCACACTCACTGCACTGTAGGCCACTGAGGGAGCTGGACGTGTTTGAAGCAGACGACATTGATACTGCTGTGGATGCCCTTCACTCCACAGTGGAAGAGGTGAGCTCTGCACGGCACTGCACCACACCGCACCGAAATGCCATGTGTCGCATTGCACTGCACCGCATTACATCGCACTGCACATTGTTGTGGATGCTCTGCAATCCTCACCTCAAGGTCAGGAGGCTAATTTGTTTTGTCACGTACAAGTTGCAATCTCAGACCCTGCTGAGACATTTTTCCAACATACTCCAGTTTTTTTCTCCCCTGCTGACACATTATCCGAACATGGTCCAACCAGCTGTTTAAATCACTTCTGATTATTCTCAAAAGTGATTTCTCCCCTGCTGACGCATAACCCGAATATGGTCCAACCAACTGTTTCTGTTCCTCCCTACATTTTCCACCGTGCCCCCGTCCGCCCTCCCCCCTTCTCCCTTTTGTCAGATGACCATCAAGAAGCTCCTCATGTTCATAGATATGGCCTCTCAAGGCCCCACTGCTCCCCATCCATAGAGCTGTCCTTAACATCACCCTGTATCCTCCCTCTCCCCCTCCCCCTTTCCCTCGCCAGATGACCATCAAGAAGCTCCTCATGTTCATCGAGATGGCCTCTCAGGGCTCCACTGCTCCCCATCCATAAAACACACACCATTGTCCCTGCCTTTCCAACCGTCCCATCCCCTCTCTCTTCAGATGACCATCAAGAAGCTCCTCATGTTCATAGAGATGGCTTCTCAGGGCTCCACTGCTCCTGGACAGCCCAGACCCAAGATTGACATTGGCTTCCTGTGCGAGTGCCTTAAGGATTTGTCGTAAAGCAGGCACATGAGTGAAGGGGAAAGGGAAAGGTGGGAAGGGGGGGTGGGTGGCGTGACTGACCACTGCCCGGGCAGCCCAGACCCAAGATCGACATTGACTTCCTGTGGAAGTGAATCATAGATATTATGTGTTTCTGGCCGATGCGTAGTCCGCTAAGGCCTAAGGCCAACACTGATTCCTGCACAACTGATGTATGCACTATACAGTACGCAACTTACCATGTCTGCTGCATGCACTTCCTTGATATACAATTGATATGATGAACCCTAAACACTCTTGGTGCGGCAGTCAGCAGAAACACGAGTATACTCTACATGGCCTGGCTATTTCAGGCCTGTCAATGAGTCGGGGCGCAGCGATGTTGTTGCGGCACGGAATGTCCTACCTACGGTAAGCTGGAGTTGTAAATCATCATTCATTGGAAACCACAAAAGCCTATTACCAGCCCTACAGTTGACCCCGAACTTCTCCTCAAACTGCTTGTCTGTGAATTGGAGAAACTGTTGCAAACACACCAGCTTCTTTGTCGCCTCCATTTCCACAAGCTGCTGCTCTGTAACAGCAACGCTCTTTCCCCTGACTGGTAGTTGCCCAGGTGTTCCTCAAGCAACAGTCCACTACCACCATCCTCCCCTTGGCAGTGCTGCTTTTTGAGTCGAGTAAAAACTGTAACAGCTTCCCCCCCTGGTTCGTCATTCCCTAGGAACTCCTCAAGTAGAAGTTCGCTACCACCATCCTCCAAATCGCGCTGCTGCTCTTGCTTGTCACCCGTCCTTTCGATCTTTCTTTTTTCCACTCCCCATTCAATCCACTCCACTCCCTCCACTTTGTCAGAAAGTGAGGAGCAAACAGAACCCAGCTTGCCCCTCTGCTCCTCAGCTCCAATCGAAACACCCCTCGGCCGAATAACCATCTCATGTGCCACAACCGCATATCCAATTTGCACCAGTGCCACATGCCGTGGTCTGATTCGCCGATCCAAACTGTACCCAAGAAACTTAGGGTAGGCAAGGACCTCCTTTATAGAGAGCCCCATGTCCCGTTTTAAGTAGTCCAGCTTGGATTTCAGGTTCGTTTTCCAACTGTAATAAATGGACGGCGGGTACGTCATAACCAAATCCACCACCAACCGACGAGCCCTGCACCTCTTGGCACTTAGTGCTGGATAGTCATTTTCCCCTACCAAGCGCTTTCCTCTCTCATCTTCCCCCAACCTTTGCATCCCGTTTCCCGCTTCTCCACTGCCCTCAAATGCCTCCTCCACTTCTCGCACAAGCTCTTTAAAGCTTTCCTTCACGACAGTTTCACTAGCCGTTAGTAGCAAAGGAAACTGTGCGACCGCCCGCACGGCATTCTCTTGGCCAATCAAATCAGCCAATTCCGCCACCTTGCCTTGCAGGTTCTCCTTCGAAAGTTGCAGAACCGCCGGGTAGCTCCTCGCCACCCTCCCTGCTGCTTTCTCCCCCACCAGCTCCACAAAAAACTGGAGCTTAGCTAAGAGAGTTTCTGAGCTAAGGCCGAGGATGGTGGGGGCACGACGAAGCACAGAGGTTGCAACGGAGGGGGTGCCTGTGGGAGTGAAGGACTGGAGGATGGCAAGTTTCTCTGCAATGTGATAAGGAGAACGGGAGAGGAAGCCTGGAAACGTCAAGATAAGCCTGCTTAGGTAGCTTGTGTCCAAGGGCAGTTCATCTGGTCGCTGCTTACAAGGGCTTGTGCTGGTGCTATCTGCTTCTCCCTTCCCTCCGCATTCCGCCTTCAGGTAAGCTGATAACGTCTCAAGCTGTGTATATACCGCGTTTTTGCTCCGAATCAAGATGGATGGAGCTCTCTCTATAATCCCACCCAGTTTGTCCACTGGAACCCCTGCCTTTTCCACGAGAATGTTCAGGTTCGTGGAACGTACCTCAAAGCGAAGTAAGTTGCTTACACGTCGGAACACCAAGCCCAATCTGCTTCGGCGGACGCCTTGAGCCAAAAGGAACTCAAGCGTGTTTTGAATTCGTGGCAGGGGGGATCGGAGCCAGCGTGGACCTCTCTCAGTGATGTGGAGGATATCGGCATGAGATATGCCATATGACTGGAGGAGACGGACACGTGGCAGGAAGTCATTGGTGGGATTGGAGCGGAGCAGTTGGGGGTGGGAAGCGAGGAGGGAAGCGACAGTGGAAGGGGAGGAGATGCCGAGGTGGGAGGAGAAGAAGCGGTAGAGGGAGAGGAGGGAGGAGCGAGATACGACCCGAGGGCTGTTGAGTGGAGGAGGGCGTGTGGGAGGAGATGTGGTGGGTGGTGCGTCCTCCTCACACGCTTCTGCTTCTGCTTCCTCCTCCTCCTCCTCCTCCTCCTCCTCCTCCTCCTCATCGCCCCCCTCCTCCTCACTCACTATCCCCACCCCGTCTTCGTCCTCGCTGCTTCCTAACCCACTCTCCCACTCCTCCAACTCCTCTCTCACAATCTGAGGCCCGAATTTTTCCCTCAGCACTCCAGCAATCACTGCCACTGCCTCCTCCTCCTCCTCCTCCTTGCAGCCTTTCGCCCCGTAGCTCGTCCTCCCGCCTCCCTCACTCTTTCCCCCCACATTTCCTACTCTCCTTTTACCGCTCAGATCTCCACCTCCCGTTTCTCCCCCCTCCTCTTCCCCTACTCTCCTGATGCTCCCCTGGCTCCCTTTCCCAATCCCCCTCTCCTCGCCCTTCACTGTACGCGTTTTAAGCTCCGCTTGCACCTCTACTAAATGGTTCATCATAGAAAGTGATTTCGACCCAGAAATAGCAGTCGCCTCGGAAGCTTCTGCGTCTGCTGGCCTGGAAGACGTACCAGCGGCAGGCCATGTCGCGAAGCTTCGGTCTGGGTTTTGGATTTGAAAAGGCGCGTTTCGCGCAGGTTCGTTTCGATCCGATCCAATCCGTTCGAGGTTTGGTAAGGAAGAAACCGAAGATCGCGATGCTATTCGGTGCGTTTGCGATGTCTCACGAGCAATATGTCTGAAAATTCGATCTACGAATGACCGTGACGTATACGGTATGACTAGCCATAGCGATCGGCGAGCTGATCTACGCGAGGCGGCGTAAAAATTCATGATTTTGTTGATTTTGTTGCATTCGTCGAATTCGTCTAATCCGTCGAGATCTTCGTGTATGCCTGGACCCTCGCTGACCTTGGCTGGCTGGCGACGCGAAACGTGAAGTCAGCTTCGCGTGCACGGATAAGAGAAGCGATGTCTGAATATTATCTCAATGGATGATTGATGCCTCGAGCTCTTATTTAGCTGGAATAGCTATCTAGCTTCATCTATGCAGCAGCTATCTAGCTGCTCCATGACGGGCGATCCCCTCTGATTCAATTTTGGAAACCTGGGTTCCTCGGAGCTACCGACGAGATGAGTGTGAGGATCACAAAGGTCAAGCGGTACGGCTTGATATGGTGCTGTGCGTTTACAAACAGTCAAATAAGTATACGGCAAGCAGGTGCTTAGCAAATGCCCTCGAGATTGGCGAGAACTTTTCGCTCCGCTCCGCTCCGCTCTGATGATGTTTTCGCCAGAAACCGTAACTGGTTGCTGCCCAGCGAAAGATTCAATGCTGGTACTCACGAAATTGAATTCCAAGCCCCATGCCCCTGGTTGGCGGGAGTTTCACCTCAGGAAAAGCAGCGTTTCGATATACGTTAAGTTGTGATTTTGTATCTATCGCCCTTTATGAGTTTTTGAGTTCTATCATCCCACTTATCCTGGATACATATGGTGTGGACAGTGCAACCATCATAATTTCTTTGGGCTCATCAAACGCGTGTTCGCACTGGTTCATTTCCCAATTAACTTACTATCGTGGAGAACTGACGTGGAGTATCTAGACACCATGGTCCATACCAACTTGAAGGCACGAACCAGGCTTGGACTGGACGCCAGCACAGAAGTTGGGCAGTGTCCAGACTGTTTTCCTGTTTTCAGGATGTTCCACACCTGTGAAGGAACCAGTTGTTTGTACTACCGCCTGCTAAACAGACGCAATCGTCGTAGCCATGAGTGCGTAGATTAAAGCAGAAGCATTGTAAGCAGTATGCAGAGCGACAGCTGGCGAGAGAGAGAGGTGGAAGAGGGCGAAGAGCGCTGCAGAGAGCATGGCAGCGTCGATCCTGAGAGAGAGAGGTAGGAAGGGGGATGGCGCAGGAATGGGGATAGCACAGGACGGTTGACTAGCATGACTCAGTTTGACTTACATTGACTTCAGTTCTGATAGGTACCATGGCAGGAAAGGTTAAAGTGGAATTGGATTGCTGGGAAAGATAGTGTGCATGGGGACATGTGAAAATGACCAAACCCAGAAAAAAGGCAGCAGATGAAGGTGTGGCCTTGCCAAACCTCCCTTCACAGCCTCTAACCAGCCTGCCACTCACCTGCCGAGCCTCAATTGCAGTACTGTGAGCAGCAGCCTCTGAACAGCAGCTCCTCTGCTACAGCCGATGACATCGCCGCCCACAGGAACAGCTGTAGCAGGTCGAGAAGAGGTAAGGTAGAGGAAGCTGTAGCAGAGGCAAATGTAGCAGAGGCAGATGTAGCAGAGGCAGATGTAGCAGAGGCAGATGTAGCAGCCACACCCCCACCAGTTCCATCAGGCAGCAACAACGGACCCAGCAACAACGCTGCAGCACTCAAGCTATCCCCTCTGCCTCCTCCTGCTGCTCCTGCTCCTGCTGCTGCTGCTAGTTCTACTAATACCCCTCCCCCCTCCCCTCCAGCACCTGCTTTAAGAGAAACTAGAGAGAACAGCTCAAATCCTGCAGTTTGATCCCGAACTTCTTCTCAAACTTCTCGTCTGTACCCCGAAGAAACTGCTGCAAGGACACTGTTTTCCTGGCCGCTTCCAGATTCACAAGCTGCTGCTCTTTGCCAACCCCCCCTCCTGGCTCATCACTTCCTAGAAAATCCCCAAGTAACGGGTTATTGCCACAATCCTCCCCTTCGCACCGCTGCTCTTGCCTGTCACCCGTTCCTTCACTCTTTCTTTCTTCCGCTCCGCATTCAATCCTCTCTACTCCCTCCACTTTGCTAGACAAAGAACCCATTCTGCTCCTCCCTTCCCCAGCTCCAACACTGGTCCGACTAGCCATCTTGTGTGTCACAAACTCATAGCCCATTTGCACCAGCACCATATGCCGTGGTCTGATTCGCCGATCTAAACCGTAGATAAGGAAGTTCGGATGAGCAAGCACCTCTATTATCGAGAGCCCCATGTCCCGCTTTAAATATTCCACCTTATGCTTCAAGTTCGCTTCCCAGCTGAAGAAAATAGCCTGCGGGCACTTCACCACCATATCCACCACCAACTGGCAAGCCCTGCATCTCTTGCCACCTTGGGACCCAGAATCTTTCTCCTCTTCCAAAATATTACCTCCTCCCAACCTTACCATTCCATTTCCCTCTTTTCCACTTTGTTCCAGTGCCTCTTCAACTTCTCGCACAAGCTCTCTGAAACTGGTCTTTAAGCTAATTTCGCTAGAAGTTAGTACAAGAGGAAATCGTGCCACCACCCGCACAGCATTTCCTTGACCAAGCAAATCGGCCAATACCGCCACCTTACCTTGCACGTTCTCCTTTGATAGAACCAGAACCTTCGAGTAACTCCTTGCCACTTTTCCTGTTACCTCCTCCCCCACCAGCTCCACAAAGAACTGGAGCTTAGCTAAAAGAGTGTCTGTGGTAAGACTAAGGAGAGTGGGGGCACGCCGAATCACAGAGGCCGCAATGGAAGGGGTGTCTGGGGGAGTGAAGGACTGGAGTATGGCAATATTCTCTGCAATGCGAGAGGGAGGAGTAGAGAGGATGGCTGGACACTTCATGATAACCCTGCTTAGATTGCTTGTGTCCAAATTCTGCTCACCTAGTCGCTGACTTAGGGGGCTTGTGCTGGTGCTATCTGATTCTACCTTCCCTCCAGGCTTTTCCTTCAGGTAGGCTGATAACGTCTCAAGCAGAGTATTGACAACCTCTTTTCTCGGAGTCAAGATGGACGGAGATCTCTCCAAAATTTCACCCAGCTTGTCCACAGGAACCCCTGCTCTCTCCACCAGAATGTCCAGGTTCGTTGAACGTGCTTCCCGGCAGAGTAAGTCCCGTTCACGTCGGAGCACCAGGCCCAATCTGCTACGGCGGACGCCTTGAGCCAAAAGAAACTCAAGAGTGTTTCGAATCATAGGCAGGGTGCTTCGTAGCCAGGCTGGCCATTTCATTGTGACGTGGACGATGTCGGCATGAGATATGCCAAACGATTGGAGGAGACGGACACGTGGCAGGAAGTCGTTGGTGGGATTGGAGCGGAGGAGTTGGGGGTAAGAGGCGAGGAGGGAAGCGACAGTGGAAGGGGAGGAGATGCCAAGGTGGGAGGAGAAGAAGCGGTAGAGGGTGAGGAGGGAGGAGCGAGAGGTAGCACGTGTGGGACGAGATGCGGTGCTTGGTGAACCCTCCTCGTTTGCTTCTGCTTCTTCTTCCTCTTCGTTCACTCCCGTATCCATTCCATCCTCCTCCTCGGCCACCGCCGCCACCGTTGTTGCATCCGATGCTACCCCTCGTTCCATCTCCTCCCTTCCCTCAATCCTTCCGTTCCCAAGCCCTTCCTCCTCCTCCTCTTTCACAATCTGAGGCCCGTATTTCTTCATCAACACTCCAGCAATCAGTGACACTGCCTCCTCCTCCTCCTCGGATCGTCCTCCCTCTCTGCTCTTACCCCCGCTTCCTTCGCTTCTTGCTCTCGCTTTGCCTGCTTTCCTCCCACGCCTCTTACCCCCAACTTCCTTGGTTCCCCCCTGCTTTTCCTCAGAAACTCTTACGCTCACCTCGCCTTCTCTATCAGCTCCTATCTCCTCCTCCCCCACTTCACGCGCCTCATACTTCGCTCCAACGTTCGCCTTGTCATCGGCCGTCGATTGAATACTAAGGTTTGCGACCTCCGTCTCGGGAGAGTCTGCTGGCACGGAAGCGTTTTCAGCATTGCATCTGATCGCAGCGCTCCGGTCAGGGGATCGAATCCTACCGAAGGATTTTCGTACGGAGTGGTTCAATGTGAGGAATCTGAGCTGGTACGGGCTAGACCATGACGGAAAAGCATATCTGACTGAATTCACGTGGTTCTTATCAAGAGATCGAGAGGGACGAACACAGGTCTGCGTGCAGTCTAAGCTGCTGAGCGATATGACTGATGGGAATGAAGGAACAACACACGCCATCGCAAGAAGCAGAGGAACCGAAATTACGATCAATGTCAATAACTCGCAGCTACACGGAACGCTCCTACCCAGTATGACGCTTCAAGACCCTAGTAATTTGCAACTATTATCTTATAGAAAGGTCACGTTCTTCGTGATGTCCAACTCATAAAATGGTCGAGCCACTGCTACTTGCCCAGACGAGCTATCTGCCTCATGCTCGTTCTGTGGAATGAGGCAGGGTGAAGCAGCAGATTGATCCTAGGCGACAGGATTCGAGCTGATGCTCACAAATGTGTGCCTGAACTCGAGATTGGCGAGAAGTGCAAGTGAACGAATGTGACTTTGAAATTGTTGTCTCGGGATTATCGCGTCGGACTGTCACCTTGGTCGATTGAAGCTGGCGACAAATCAGTTCATGAAAGCAAGGCTCGCAAATTTGATTCGTTACCAGGCTTTCAGATTCGTTTTAGACCCTGGTGCCAGGCTAAATCCTTCGAATATGAAAGGCAGTCTTTTCATGTGGATCTTGAATTTCCAGGGCAGGGATTGGGTTGCTTCCTGGTTTATATCAGGGTTCGTTCATGTCAACATACTGTTCATGGTGATATCGAAGTACTATGTTCATACTTCTATTCTATGGTGCCGGACAACTGAAATGTTATATCGATTTCAATATTATTCCTCAACACTTAGGATGGACCGTAAACACACGTGGTGTACCGTCAGTTGCACGCGAATCTACAGTGTACTGTAGCACCCAGTTGTTCACCGCTGCTCCTACTCCCCGAACCTGTTGACCGCCACCAAGCCTCCCACAAAGGTTGGGAATTTGGCTCGGATGCGACTGATGGCAGCTTCGGCAGCCGAAGCTGGGGTAGAGCCCATTCGCATGAGCTCGACTGCTAAGAAGCTGAAATAGTGAAGGGAAGAGGAATGTGGGAGAGGAGGAAGAGAGAAAGGAAGATGGGATGGAAGAGAGAAGGCTGGGGTATAGCCCATCCGCATGAGCTCCACTGCTAGGAAGCTGAATCGTGTAGGGAAGAGGAATGTGGGAGAGGGGGAAGAGAGAAACGAAGATAAGACGGAAGTGAGGAGGGTGGGGTCGAGTCCATTCAGATGAGCTCAACTGCTAGAAAGCTGAGATATTAAGGGATGAGGAACGTGGGAGAGGGGGAAGCGAGGAATAACAATAGGAAGAAAGAGAGAGGCTGGGGTAGAGCCCATTCGCATGAGCTCGACTGCTACGAAGCTGGAAGAGTGAAGGGAACAGCAACAAAGGGAAAGCAGCAAGAAAGGAATTAGTGGCGGAGAGTGGAGGGGTACGGAACGGAGGAGTCAGAGGGGGTAGGCTCTATCTAACATGTTTTTATGTGGAAAATCCATGTATTGGTTTCCGAACGATATTGAAGTGATGTCAGCAATTGCTGAGGAGCACACACGGCCATGACGTCAGCATACCATGGCAGGAACCTCATCATGACGTCACCATCTCCTGTTGCACCACAGCCGCCCACTTTGGAGTCCACATATGCTCCTGCCCCTGCTATGGGTGCATCACCCACCCTGGAAAGAAGAGCAAGGTTAGAGGGGGTGTGAGTGAGTGAGTCATTGAGTGGGTGAGTGAGTAGGTAAGTCCAAATAAACGCCTTCTCCTGCTATGAACAGGATCCTATGAGTATGATGATATGGTACAATGACAAAAGGAAGACATGGGTATGATCACATGGGTATGATCACATGGGTATGATCACATGGGTATGAAGACATATCATGACACGGATTGCAACATACCTCCCAGGGATGTGGAAGGTGAGTCCATTGGTGGATGTGGCTGCAGCCATAGTGCCGTTCTGAATGGCATGGGCATGGGGTGATGACGTCATGGGCATGAGGTGATGACGCAACGCACATGGGGAGATGATGTCACGGGCACAATGCGATGACATCACGCAAAGGGGTGACGATAGGAAGTTTACAGATGGGGTAATGACGTCATCCTACTGGAGGCATGGAGGAGGGCAGTGGGCACATGTGCATGTGCAGTGCAGTTCAGAAGAGTCCGCATATCAGGCACAGCAGGGCAGTCTTAGGCCCACACAAGAATAGCCCAGAACCTGTCACCTCACCTCACCTCACCTCACCGCACCGCGCCTCACCTTACCTCACCTCACCTCACCCCACCTGCGCAATGGTGTCGTGTGATGCCAGCCGTCTTCTGCTCCTCAATGAGCCTTCCTCCGTGCCACGACAGCAGCCTTGCCTCGCCGGGACAACCACTCACCCATCCAGCCTTTCACTGCACCACACCCCACCAAACCCCAACTCACCTTACCGAACCGCACCTCACCTGCGCAATGGCAACCATGGAGATGGTGTCGTGTGATGCCAGCCGGTTTTGCCTCCTCAATGAGCCTTGCTGCCTGCCAACAAGGCTGGGATCACATCCCACGCGCATACCACCAGGCCCGGAACCAGGTCCGGCACCAGGTACAGCACCCGCTTCAGCCCCCTGAGGCTCGGCCGTGGCACCACCACGTGGTTCGGAAGCAGATGCTTCTGAAGCAGGGCGGTAGGGGCCGCAGGAGCGGGCGGCATCAGGCGTCACGTTGCGCCAATAGTTGGGCTGACAGCTGGCGGCCTTCCATTGGCGCCACATGGCGAGAGAGCGATTGGTGGAGAGATCTTCCGGGCCGGCCAGGCCCATTTCCAGGACGAAGTCCATTGCTGCGTCGCCGACCAGCAGCGAGTGATACGTGTGCAAAAGGACAAGATACGCCGCCCGCACTGCCGCCTTGACTCGGCGCAGGCCGGCCACTGCCCCCACGTCCATGGAGTCCTTGGGGAGGGGGGAGAGAGAGGGGGGCGGGGGGAGGGGAACGGGGGGGAGAGGGTTGGGGGAAGAGTGGGGGGAGAGAGGAGAGGCAAGCGGGCAGGAGAACGGGAAACGGTTTTTGAGACGTCTTAAGAAATGACTCGGCACCGGCCGGCCACTGGCCCCACGTTCATGGAGGCATTGGCAATGGGGAGAAGGGGGAGAAAGGGGAGAGGTTGGGGAGGGGCAAGGGAATGGGAGGGGGAGAAAATGGGGGGAGAGAAGGGGAAGTGGTGGTGGAGGCACAGAGTGGAAAAGTTGGTAATTGGAGGGATTGAGCGGTGGAAAAGGGAGGAGATGGGGTGAAGGGGAGGGTCTGGAGGACAGGGGGGTGGGGCGGTACAGATGTCCGAAGATGTGTATGCCACTACATGTTCCAAGTTGCCTTAAGAGTTGATTCAGAAGGGTAATAACCACGAGTAGAAAGTGTATTTTTTCGAGACGCCTCCAAAATACACTTTCTACACGTAAGAGTTGATTCAGAAGGGTAATAAGGTTCTCGTCATCCCATCTCACCCCATGCTGTAATTATGACGTCATCCCACGTCACCCCATGCGTGATCATGACGTCACCCCATCTCACCCCATCCATAACCATGGCATCGAGCGTTGTTTCCCCCTTCTCGTCCGGACTTCCTCCATACCCCACTGGACGGGGAAGAAAGGAGAAGGATGGGGGGGAAAGAGGGAGGGGAACCGGTGTTGAGTCGACTCAAAGCACACGTGTCATCTCCCCCTTCTCGTCCGGACTTCCTCCTTACCCCACTGGGGGAAGAAGGGGGGAGGGAGTGTGTGAGGAGGGAGAGGAGAGGGGGGTGTGTACGGGGGCAAACTGGGGGATAAACGAGGAGATTGGACGAGATCAGTGGTCGGTGGAAGTTAAATGAGGGCTCTTGAGATACTATTCATGCTGACGTGGTACCTGATCCATCGCACTGAAGCACCTCGCACACGTTACATCCTTCCACCACCGCGTCCAGTGCGGATCCGCCACGTGTCAGCACCTCCCATGCCCGACTATTTGCTTCTAAAAACGGCCACACGTTCACCACCATCGGCCATTGCCTTGCCGCCGAATCAACGGCTACAAATTGCTGTCCTTCTGTTGACGAAGCCGCGCACGGAAAAACAACTACTAGGAGGAACGACAGACAGAATAAGAATACAATTTCATGAGTTTTAACATCCATTTCCCTAAATTTGAAACGAAGCAATGATGGAGATTGCTGCCTTCGCCTGTCTTATGATTTCTGTGAAGAATCTCCGTAGGATGCGGAAATGTGCGTGGCTGTAGGTAGGGGATTTGGTATCAATTGCGAAATTGCGGAGGGTGCACGAATTGCGCGAGACTTTGCTGAGCGAGGTACCGAAAAGCGGTTCAATTACGGTAACTCGCTTCAGCGGACAGATTCCTCGCACGGCACTTTCGAAACAAAACTACTTCGTCAGCCAATGAAGGCGAAATCGTGCGGCGATACTTCCAACATATCCGAGGGCGTTTGCGAGGGCGTTTGCGCTCGCCTGAAACTGGACAATCCTTGCGTTGCGAAGAATTCCAGTTCGAGGTGGTTACGACTCACAGCGCACCTGAAGTACAATCGTGTGTCACTTTTGTGGCATCTGGTGTGGCATGGCAAGGCAGCTCAACTCGGTTACAAGGTGGCCCTGTTTTATTCGCTTAAACCTTTCGGACAAGAATTCTAGCTGAAAATACGCACCCCAACTGCAGACGAAGTAGTGACATCAAGCAATTTCCTCCACTCAATAGTAGAGTGGTTGATTAGTCCGCCAGCACAACTCGTTACCTAGTAGGAAAACCAAATAGTAGAGAAACTCGTTCCCGTCTTGATTAGCTCGCCACTCGCACTTCGATTTTCTCGCATGAGCATTAGGAAACACGAGCTTGCTCTCTGTCCTGCTCCCTTCCCCTTTCCCCCTATAATGTGGAGATTTAGTAATTCCGCGACAATAGTGAGAAGGACGATGTATTTCTGCCATTTGTGTCCCATTTCGGTGTTCTTTGCCTCCACGAAAGCCTCTATAACGTCGCCATCATGAATCTCCGCTTCCGAAACTTCAAGTTCCTCTTGACGTTTCTTTACTTGTTCCAGTCATCACTTGGCGACGGCCGTCCTCTTCGTTCTGGCAAAGGACACTTCTCAAAGGGGCTCGAATGGGAGCACTTCGACGTCTTCTACCTTCTCGTGCGTTACTTGTTCAATGAACTCGAAAAAAATATCGTTTAGTACTTTGAATCCCGTCTTGTGCAATTTTTGGTAAACGGCTGTGATGATTCACAGAGGTCAGGCATTGCTCCTCTTTACCTCACTCTGCATCAAGCAACCGGTTTCGATCAAACTGATTTCGTTTTTGCTGGGTGTTTTCCTTTCAGGATGGCCACTTAAGCCGCAAACAAGTTGGTCCAGGTGCAGGAAACGTCTACTACAAACAAGTAAGCATTCTCGGGGAAACGAGACGGACCTTTTATTTTAACTTCGGTCGATCTTCACCTTGAGAAGTAACAAAGAAGATCCGAACCACCTTCCCTGTGACGCTCTTCTCTTGTGTCCATTTCAGTTGGGCAATGCAGGAAGCATCAACAATCAGGGGGCGGTGAACAACCAAGCAGCCCGTGCCGTGAAAGACGGAACAGGGCTGGGGAGCGCCAACGTGCAACAGGAGAACTCACAGACGCAAACAGCATCTGCAAACCCCGTCACAACCACTGTTCAGGTTGACGCTGCTACTTCTACCACTGATTACACTGGTTCAACTGCAGGCCTTCCAGCTGCCTCTGTTTTAGCACCAGGGGTGGGATTTAGTGGTGTTGGCGTGGGATCGCTAATCACAACCCTTCCTGGGCCTGATCCCTTTTCAAGTGGGTTGGTACGCCAAGGTACAGATCCCAGGTTCCGTAGGGATGAAGGCACAGAGCATTGTGATGATGGTGCATCTATATTTTCGTCCAGGGTTCCCATTGTTACAATCTCCACTTTTGGTGAAAGTGTGAGAATCTAGTAACATACCCTTATGTGTTCCAGGCTTCACATTTCATATGGACTTATGGTGCATGTGGGTTGAAGATGTTATCAATGAAATAATTTAGGGTCCAAGCTAGCATCAGGTGAAGCTGTGCCCGTGAGAACACTGGTGCTGTGTCCGTCAGAACACTGGTGCAGTTCATCAGTAGGGATCTAGATATAAGATACATCATGAATGATTCAATGGCATGTTTTCATTTTTACTGGAAATGGGTCGGGTGAGTACAACACTTCTGTTCAACCTCGGTGGTGTATTATCGAAAAGCTCCTTACGACTGTTGTTGTGGAGCTTCCGCTGCGATCAAGGGAGACACACGAACAGTCGTCGTCACCAATCACCCGCTTGTGCGACGTCAAGTTCTGGGCACGTCTCTGACAACGAAGGTGCCGCCGCCGATCCACTCGATGTAAGCACGCGACTGCGTCTCGCACATAAACAGCTCATCTGTCCAGCGCTGGGTCGAGTGCTTGACCAATCACAGGGATCCGCAAAGTGCTGTACCCGCGCCACTACATCCACTATCGAAAGTTTCACTTCCGCTTCTGTGGCGCACACTTTCGCGCCTCGACCTCTGCCCCTCCACACGGTCAGCCAACAGCAGCGCCAACCTCCCAGGTTGGCGCATCCTCCAGTCCCCCTACAAAGCATCGGCCTTACACCAGCCATCGATTTATTGATCAGGTCAACCTTGCTGCATCTTATCCGTTCAAATACCGTCCCCCCACCACTGTCATGCCATATTTGGCGGGAGACGATGTACTGTACACCTCACCCAGCAGACACCCCCCCGCTTCCTCCCGACACATCCCCCGCTCCACCTCTTCTCCCCAACCCGTCCTTTTTCCCCCTTGTCCCCTCCCCAGGAAATACCCCCCCTATCTTCCATAGGGAGTTTCACATCCCTCGGAACGAATCTGGGCTGGCCGTATGCCAAGCATACAAGAAATATTTGTTTCTCGCCTGCCCTACTCCATTTCTTTGCCCTATAATTCTTGCTCCTAGCCTGTCCCACTTAGAAGACCTCAACGGACAAACAACCCCGCCCCTGACCGGGGCAGAAAACAAATAAAACCCATAGGGAATGCAAAAAGGGCAAAATCGTTTCCCTGGCAAGATCGACCGTCGACCCTCTTTCCGTTGAGGTATCCCGCAGGCAATACCCCCCTTGTCGCCAGCCACTTTCCTCGCAACACAAGCGACGCGCTTGCCAACTCAGCAAGCAGCCGCAGCGCAGGAACGAATCGCCGTGCGACTTGTCGGACGTCTCCTCGATAGCCTTGGCTCTTGACCTCGAGCCGGCCTACTCGCTCGTTACTGTCAAACATTAACCCTTGAGGTTAGTCCGTGTCCATTTAGGACGAATCGCCTAACTTGTCATTTTTTAGTGCGGTACGGAGCAGCGCGTAAGCCTTCCCCCTGACCCGATTTGACCAGCCAGCTAGCTTCCTACGCCGGCCTGTCTCCTCTCCCCGCGTCTCCGCTCTCCTCGTCTCCTCCCTCTCGGTTTAGGCTGGGTCAGCTTATCGTGGTCCTATTACCAGGGTAGGAGCAAGCATATTCAGGTAGGCTTGTGAGCAATGGCGCGGGAGTCTCGGCGCAACAAGCGCTGGTCGCAACGCGCCTAGCCTAGTCTTAGGCTTCGAAGGGGTTGAGGTGGTTACTAGGTTACGGTCAGTAGTTCGCACATCGCTTGTATGACAAATAAGGTTGTGGGAGCTGCTCGTGCGTTGATGATCCGTGTCCGTCGCGTATCAGTTCGTAGTGGTAGTGGCTCGGCCTCAGACTCCGATCAGGCGAATAATAACGAATCGTCGTCGCAGTCGTCGCACGGCGGCATGCGACAAGGTAATGCTCTAAAACGAAGCCAAATGGACTCGTATTCGCATCTCCATAGTATACATCACTTAGGTCTCTTTAGATGGCTCATGGTTCACCTCGCGTTTGTGTTACCCGTCGCTGTTCATTTCTTCGCCTGTTCGGCAGCTATGTTCTTCGGCCTACGTCTCGCTAGGGAGATTCTTATCCTCCGTCCAGGCTCCAGTATAGGCTCCTACAGCTCCGATTTAGCCCGATTCGATATAGTACCAAGCGGCGATCCTCACGCGTTTACAGACCGCTTTCTGATGGCTGAAACGGGCATCTCTCCGGCGATGTCCCGTTATGATCAACCGAAGCCTGTGGTGAAAGAATTTCACGATCCCTTGGCTTGCGAATGGGACTTGGCTTTACACTGGAATTTCACGTCTGACGGACCGTTAAAAGTGCCCGCGGGAGATGACGATGAGGATGCCGGCGTGAAAACCGGCCGTCATGAAATCCTCATCCGGCCGAACCCGTCTCCGGATCCACGTCAGCTGGTCGTCAGCCAATCGCTGTTGAGACTGCTGCAGGAGAACGAACGGCTGAGATTTCTCGCGCAGGAGGACGGACGGCTCGCATCGCTCCCCCCTCGCCGCTTTATAGTCATCACGCCGACCTACAAGCGAACGTTCCAGCAGCTGCTCATGCTAGGGTTGATCAACTCATTAAAACGGGTACAAGCGCCGGTGCTGTGGGTGGTGATTGAAGCGACCAAGACGGAAGAAACCGCACGGCTTATCGCGAAGGCTACTATCGGGGACAGCGGGTCGGACAATCCCGAGGTGGAAATCGCGCACCTGGGCGTGGAGGAGGAAATGCCCGAGGACTGGGACGAGCGCGTTCTGCTGGAGCAACGGATGCGAGTCGTGGGACTAAGGTGCGTGGAAACTCCTGTTTGTCAGTTGATGAGATAAAGGGGCTTTTTTGTTGGGCTTTTAGGCACCGGTTGGGGGGGGGGTGCGCCGAGAGGGGTTGGGTGTGCAGGAAGAGGGGGTGCGGAGATAGAGGGTGGGTGTGTGCGGAGAGGGGTGGGTGCGACGTCATTGTCTGGGTCATGGGGATTGACTGAGTATGTGCTTATAAGGTTCATTACCTTATATCTGACAATTGCTAACCTCCGAACCACTCCCAAACCTCACAGGTACGTTCGAGAGCGCAGGCTCGACGGCATCGTGGTCTTCGCGGATGACGGCTCGGTCTTCTCCCCGAAGTTCTTTGCCGAGGCTCAGCGCGTACCTTGGTTCGGCGCAGGCTCGGTAGGCGTGCTGCTGCCGGTCGGCTTCACCGACCTTATGGGGTCGGAAGAGCAGGCGGAGGAGCAGAGCAGTCAGGGGGAAGGGCTGGGGAAGAGCAAGGGGCAGGGACGGAAGCAGAAGCGCGGGCATGGGCATGGTAGGCGCATTGCGAGCGTTGATTCTAGTGAGGGCAGCGGCAGTGGCGGCGGTGGCGGTGCTGGGAGTGTCGAGGCTGCAGCAGCGGCGGGGGTAGGGTTAGCGTTAGAAGGGGGAGGAGCAGAGAGGGAGAAAGTAGCAGAGGGTGGGGAGGCTGGCGGAACGGGTGGGGGAGTGGATGGGGAGAGGCGGGTGGGGGAGATGGACGGAGGAGAACAGCGGATACAGCAAGGGGAGGAGAGGAAACAGGAGGGGCAAGGGGAATGGCAGACGCAGCAGCAAAAGCTGCAGCAGACGCAGGGGAAGCAAAGAGAGGGAGGGAATGGGGTTGGCGATGGGGATGAGCAAAGTAAAATGCGGTTACCACAACGCAGGCTGTTACAAGCCAGTAGCCAATCAGCGTCTTCCAGCATGTTGCGGGTAGGCAAGCAGACGCGTTATCAGATGCCCGTGCAAGGCCCTGTGTGCAATAACGAATCTGTTCTTATCGGATGGCACACTGTGGTACACCACCCGGATCGTCTCCTATTGGGGTTACCAAGTTACAACTCCCTAGGGCCGGAGGAGGAGCAACGGAGGGGCATGCTATGGCATGGGTATGTCTTTAACTCACGGTTACTATGGGCTAGAAAAGAGGAGCTTCCTGATTGGGTGCGAGGCTGGGATGAATGGGGCCCTGAGCTGGAACGAGGCCTGGGAGGAGGCTCGGAAGAAGGTTTGGAAGGAGGCTCGGAAGAAGATTCGGAAGGAGGTTCGGTGGCAGGCTCGGTAGCAGAGGGGCGGCTGTTTGACCTGCTGGGTGCGGTGGTGCGGAACGAGAAAGAGGTGCAGCTGATTGGGCAATGCGGGCGGCGCGTGCTTGTGTGGTGGTGGAGGGCTGAAGCACGGCAAGACAGCAAGTTCCCTGCAGAGTGAGTGATGGTGTTATTCAAGTGGCCAATCCCTATCCACCCTTCCCCCTCTTTCCTGCGTCAGCCCATCACTGTCCGTGCATTCAACCCCCTGACCTGACCCCTTGCCTCCTTCCTTCCCACATCCTTTCCCTCATGCGATCCCACTAAATTATCCTCAAGTGGTTGATTTACCCACATCTTGCCATTACTGCCTGTGCCAAGTCAACTCGTTTCCCCAAACCCCTGCCTCTTTCCCCTCCTTTTTGACTCATTTTCCTCTCTCTCTGCTTCCATAATCACTTGCAGGTGGGTTGTATCACCGCAACTGCCCATTACTGTCCGTGCCAAGTCAACCCCCTGGCCTGACCCCCTGCCTCCTCCCCCTCCTAGCCCTCCCTCCCCCCCATCCCCGCCGCCCCCGCCAAAAAGCAAAAAGGGCGGTGGGAAGAAAAAGGGTGGAAAGCACAAGAATAATCATTGATACAGTGCTCACAAGGGGTGTAACATTGTTACCCATAGATTCTTATTTTCTTGCATGTTTTAGGTAGATGAATCTCAGCTTTTGAGCTATGTTTTTAGCAGTGTTTTTAGACAAGTGCCAGTGCTGATGTGCTGTCAACATTGGTTGTATTCTGTTTGCTGCTACAGTAATATAATCCAATTCCAACTGTGTCAGCTGTGGTTCCAGATTTTGCTGATCATGCTCGTTGAGCATTCATCCTCCATACGGTTATGTCCATGTTAGAAATGCTGTTGCCTTGGGAGTACCGAAATGCTGAACATGATAACATTGCAAAATCACGTCACCTACAGTGATTTTCAGGTGCATCCATCTCTCTACACATAGCATTAATAAAATCCTTGCGGGTAATTATCCCTATCAAATCCGTGGGTTTAGGCACCACACACAAATGGCGCAGACCCAGATTCCGGAACAGCATATATGCCTTCTGCATTCCCATGGTCTCCGTAACAATATACGGCGACCGGTTACTGTACGGGTGTAGATCCACGAACATCCCCTCCTCTTCGGGGGTAATCTCCAGGTCTTGAACTTGGAGTTCCCCTTCCAAGGTCAGGGAGGCTGCAAAGTCTTGCAGAATCTCTGCCCTCTCTTCATCGGGGTAAATCGTATAGTTACCACGAGGAGTGATGCAGGTGGTTGCATTGCGGTGCAGTGCGTTACAGAAGGCTTTCTTGGAGTGGAGCAGGGCAAGAAGATGCTTCCGGAGGATAAGCCCGTAAAAGGCTGTTCTTTGGGAGGGGGTAGTTTGAACATCTTCTGGGGTAATTACCCTGCCGCTGTTGCTGATATGCAGCAATCCATCTCCTGACGTGCTGCGGCTGCTGGTTTTAGTTGTGATGGTGGTATTAGCATTGACTATGATGCTGCTGTTGCTGCTTCCGCTGCTGCTGCCGCTGCTGTTGCTAATCACACTTGTGCTACTGCTGCCGCTACTGCTCCTGCTCGTCGCCCCCTCCCCTGTCCCCTCCCCTGCTCTGTTCCCTGCGCCTTCCCCAGTGTCCTCCCTTCCACCAATGAAATCAACCACAGGGAACGCATTGTGCTGCGTGGCTCGCAAGGTGTCTATGATTCGCCTCACTGTAGTCACACCCTCTAAAGCCACCAGGCAACCCGTGCTAATAGCACCAGAAGCAGCAGCAGCGGCAGCAGCAGTGCCAGCAGCACCACCAGCAACACCAGAAGCAGCAAATCTAGGAGTAGTAGCAGTAGTAGCAGCACCAGCAGCACCAACAGCATCGCCAGCAGTTGCGCGCCTGCGTGGGGTTCTAGGGGTGAAGGGGGCTGTGCCACGGGGACTGAAAGCACTCGTTCTAGGGCTGACAGGGCTGGCAGGGTTGGTGAGGCTTCCAGAAGGAGTGGTGGGAATTCCGGGGCTGAGAAGAGTAGCAGATGGGGAGGAAACGAGCAAGGGAGTTACCGCAGGGGAGGTGATTGAGGGGGTTATAGAGGGGGTTACCACGAAGGTTACTGCGGGGAATCTTGAGAAAGGAGGGGTGGATTGTTGAGGAGTCATTGGAGGGGATTGGGGTGACAAGATATCAGCAGCTGCACCAAAACTGCATCCCATGCCTGTCACCAGCTGTTTCTGTTTCTGCTCCTGCTGCTGCTGCTGCTGCTGCTGCTGCTGATGTTTGTTGTCTGCTGTGACTCTGCTTAGAACACCCCCTTTCTCTCCTTCCCCCCTTTCCTCACCCTCCTTCCGCCCCTCACCCTCCTCCCCGTCTTCCTCGAACAAAGTGAAATCCTGATGCGTGCAGTTCTCCGGAAGGTAAGGAATTCCTTTCAGGTCAACATGCGAGTCGTCTATATTCCGGTTGAACAAATCCCCCACCGATTTCGACACCAGCAGCACCACCATCACCAGCGGCAAAAGTTTCAAGCTGCCCGTGAGCTCCAGCAGGATGACCGAGAGCGAAACGGTCATGCGCATGGAGCCACCTAAAAAAGACGCGGCACCGAGGAGCGCGTAGGTGCCTTCCCCCACCCGGTGTGGGCCGAATAGGGTTACCATGAACATGCCGGCCATTCGGCCGTAGGAGGCACCGCAGAGGATGGAGGGAACGAAGAGTCCGGCCGGGACTGCTGTGCCGTATGTGAGTGTGGCGAGGGCAAAGTAGATTGTGAACGACAGGAGAAGAGACGTGTAGCTGGTAGGGGGAGGGGAGGGAGGGAGTGGGAGGAGGGGAAGAAGGAGAATGAGGAGGGAGGGGAGAAGGAGAGCGTAGGTGCCTTCCCCCACCCGGTGTGGGCCGAATAGGGTTACCATGAACATGCCGGCCATACGGCCGTAGGAGGCCCCGCAGAGGATGGAGGGGACGAAGAGACCCGCCGGGACTGCTGTGCCGTATGTGAGTGTGGCGAGAGCAAAGTAGATTGTGAAAGACAGGAGCAGAGAGGAGTAGCTGGTAGGGGTGGGGGGGGAGGGGGGGAGGGGGGAGGGGGGAGGGGGGGAGGGGAAGGGGAGGGAGGAAGGGGAGGGAGGAAGGGAGGGAGGAGAGGAGAGGAAGAGGGGGAATGAGGATGGAAGGAGTAAAAAGGGCGATAGTTCACTCCTCCAGTTGGTTTGCCCTTATTGAAGAGGGTTACCATGAACATGCCGGCCATACGGCCGTAGGAGGCACCGCAGAGGATGGAGGGAACGAAGAGTCCGGCCGGGACTGCTGTGCCGTATGTGAGTGTGGCGAGAGCAAAGTAGATTGTGAAAGACAAGAGAAGAGACGTGTAGCTGGTAGGGGGAGGGGAGGGAGGGAGTGGGAAGAGGGGAAGAAGGAGAATGAGGAGGGAGGGGAGAAGGAGAGCGTATGTGCCTTCCCCCACCCGGTGTGGGCCGAACAGGTGGGTCATGAGCATGCCTGCCATTCGGCCGTAGGAGGCACCGCAGAGGATGGAAGGCACAAAGAGACCCGCCGGGACTGCTGCGCCGTAAGTGAGTGTGGCGAGAAGGAAGAAGGTGGTGAAAGAGAGGACCAGGGAGGAGTAGCTGGTGGAAGTTGGGGGGAGAGGGGGAGCGCAGGGTGAGGGGATGGGATGGGAGAGTAGGGGATGAGGGACAAGGCAGGGGGAAGGAGGAAGAAGGGCCTGTGTGCCACTGTGCGTGTGAGTAGAGAGGTCAAGAAGCAAGAATCCGCAGAGAATGGATGGCACGAAGAGACCCGCTGGGACTGCTGTGCCGCAGGGAAGTGCTTCGTGGGTCATAATCACTGTGTAAGCCATTGTTCCAGTCCCCAAAATGACTGGCACGGTCTCTTGTATCTTCTGAGCTTGTCCGCCACATTTGTACCTTTTGTAACTTACATGGCAGGTGCAGCTATTGAGACTCACGTGAATATCCCAAAAGACCCGGTGCGGAAAAGATTCCCAATGGCATCATCGTTCGTCGTAAACACCAAGCTCGCGAGATCATTATACTGCCCGTCCGGGCAGGCAAAGGCCTTGTGGTCGCCCGTTCCGACAACACTCGGGCAGTTGAAAGAACCTTGCGGCAAGCCCCCTCTTTCATCAGGGTCTTGAGGGCAGGGCAGGCAGGAGGCGAGGAAGGGACCGTAGAAGCGAAGAGCGGAGGTGAGGAGGGAGATGAGGAGCACCTCCAGCACCCTCGCCCATGCCCCGTGCCTGGATGGATAGAGGTGGGAGGGAGGAAACACGAGGAAAGGTACTGATGCGTGTGGCTTGAGGTGAGGAGGGGATCGAATAAATTAAGGAGCGGGGTGAGATGGGGCGCCTGTGTAGGACTCACCTGGAGGGTGAAATGAGGCGCCCGTGCCTGTGGGAGGGCGGAGAAGGCATGTTCACTTTGGGGTATGGAAGGCAGGAGGCATGCAGATTTGTGTACGTGCGTGGGTGCCTTAATGCATGATACTCTCACCTGTGCAGTCTGCTCTTCCTGTAAGCACACAGCTTGACATTCAGGTGGCTAAACAACCCGCCAAGCACCCCACCCACCATGCCCAGCAGGGCAACCGGCACCACCTCCAGCAGCCCAAAGTCGATCCGCGACTTGCTAAAGGGGCCTCACCCTTGTAATGCATGTCGCTCTCCCTCTCTCTCACCTGTGCAGTCGGTTTTTTCCTTTGCTTAAGCCAACTGCACGCACGCAGCTCACTGAGCCATGTCCGGATCTCGCATGTCGCTCTCCCTCTCTCTCACCTGTGCAGTCTGTTCTTCCTGTAAGCACAGAGCTTGACGTTCAAATGGTTGAACAGACCACCAAGCAGCCCGCCCACCACGCCCAGCAGGGCCACCGACACCACCTCCAGCAGCCCAAAGTCGGTTCGGGACTTGCTTCGGTCGAACAGGATGAAGCCTCGGGACCCGAAGCTGCCGCCGCACCTATCGCCCTCGCACAGGGAGATGCAGGCTCGGAGAACCATGGCTACCACGGCATTGGTGAAGAAGATTCGCCAGATGAGGGAGTTGCGCCACCTGTGCGCGTGGAGGGGGGGATGGGAATGGGGAGAAGGACATGAAGGGGTGAGGTTGGGAGCACCATGGCTACAATCGCATTGGTGGAGAAGATGCGCCAGATGAGCGAGTTGCGCCACCTGAGTGGGTGGGGAGAGGTGACGAGGGGGAGTTTCAGAGGGAGATGCATGCGGGGCCGGAATCGCTGATCGGAGCACCAATCGCTTGCAATCGCTCACATTCACTCGCAATTGATTCGCAATCATTCCCAATCAGCACCAGAAGCACCCCCATCTCACCAGGAGGTGACTTGCTCCAGGGCGAACAGTACACCGCCCACAGGAGCAAGAAACGCAGCAGCCACACCTGAGGCAGCACCACACGTCACCAGGTCTCTTAAACCCCTGTCGCTGTGCAACCACACCCACCGGCGCCCTTCAAGCCCCAACCACTCCCAAGCCAACTGCACTCGACCACTCCCAATCACCCCCAAATCTCTCCCAACCACTCCCCATCTCACCAGGAGGTGACTTGCTCCAGGGCAAACAGCACACCGCCCACAGGAGCAAGGTAGTTTGGTAACAGTTGCTCCTAATCACTACCTATCACTCCCAACCACTCCCAACCACTCCCAACCACTTACCAGGAGGTGACTTGCTCTAGAGCGAACAGCACACCGCCCACAGGAGCAAGGAACGCAGCAGCCACGCCCGAGACAGCACCGCACGTCACCAGGTCCCTCAACCCCTGTCGCTGTGCACCCACACCCACCGGCACCCTTCAAGCCCCAACCACTCCCAACCCAACTGCACTCGACCGCTCCCAATCACCCCCAAATCTCTCCCAACCACTCCCCATCTCACCAGGAGGTGACTTGTTCCAAGGCGAACAGCACACCACCCACAGGAGCAAGAAACGCAGCAGCCACACCCGAGGCAGCACCGCACGTCACCAGGTCTCTTAAACCCCTGTCGCTGTGCACCCACACCGGCGTCCTTAAAGCCTTGATCGACCCGTGATTGAAGAACAGTCCCAAAGAGGCGAAGGAGCTAGCTGCCTGGATCCGCGGCTTGCGCGGACGGCTGAGATCGCGGCGGGCGGAGATCCGATGGCTGAGACGGCCCAGGATGCTGGCGATGCATGCCCCACAGTGCACCAGAGGCCCCTCCTTGCCCACTGCTAGCCCTCCTGCCACGGCTGCTATGCTGCCCAGCGCCTGGTGGGAGAGAGGAGAAGGGCGGAAGGGAAGGGGAACGGTTGTACATTCTTCCATCAATCGCCCAAGATGCTGGCGATGCAGGCCCCACAGTGCACCAGAGGCCCCTCCTTGCCCACTGCTAGCCCCCCTGCCACAGCTGTTATACTTCCCAACGCCTGATAGAAGACGAAAAGGTGATGAGAGGCAAAGAAGGTTGTCAGGTCAGGGGGAATGGACGGAGCACGGCTGTCAGACCTCGAATCCGAGTGTGTTAACATAATCATCTTTTAACAAGGAGGGTTTAGGTGGAGAAGACAGGAGAGCAGAGGAGAGCAGTAACATGTACGTCAGAATCAAGACTTGTTGGGATTATCACCTGAGCTTGTTGGGAGTGACGATCACCTTAACAAGGAGCGTCTTGGCGGAGAGGACAGGGGGGGTGCTGACGCCGTTGAGATACCCCTTCACCTCGGGAATACCAGTGACCAAACCCGTATCCGAATATGCTGGGAGGGACTATCAATCACCTTCACAATAAGAGTCTAGGCGGAGAGGACAGGGGGGGTGCTGACGCCGTTGAGATACCCCTTCACCTCGGGAATACCAGTGACCAAACCCGTATCCGAATATGCTGGGAGGGACTATCAATCACCTTCACAATAAGAGTCTAGGCGGAGAGGACAGCCGGGGTGCTGACGCCGTTGAGATACCCCTTCACCTCGGGAATATTAGACCCACGTTTGAATATCTTGAAATTAATAATCACCTTAACGAGGAGGGTTTTAGCGGAGAGGACAGCAGGGGTGCTGACGCCGTTGAGATACCCCTTCACCTCGGGAATACCAGTGACCAAACCCGTATCCGAATATGCTGGGAGGGACTATCAATCACCTTCACAATAAGAGTCTAGGCGGAGAGGACAGGGGGGGTGCTGACGCCGTTGAGATACCCCTTCACCTCGGGAATACCAGTGACCAAACCCGTATCCGAATATGCTGGGAGGGACTATCAATCACCTTCACAATAAGAGTCTAGGCGGAGAGGACAGGGGGGGTGCTGACGCCGTTGAGATACCCCTTCACCTCGGGAATACCAGTGACCAAACCCGTATCCGAATATGCTGGGAGGGACTATCAATCACCTTCACAATAAGAGTCTAGGCGGAGAGGACAGCCGGGGTGCTGACGCTGTTGAGATACCCCTTCACCTCGGGAATATTAGACCCATGTTTGAATATCTTGAAATTAATAATCACCTTAACGAGGAGGGTTTTAGCGGAGAGGACAGCAGGGGTGCTGACGCCGTTCAGATACCCCTTCACCTCGGGAATACCGGATCCCACTGCCTCCATCGCTATCCCGTTACAGAGGCACGTTGAAACGAGTACAAGACCCAAGTTGGTCGCTGCCAGCACCAGGAAGCCTCCTAGAAAGCTGGAAAAAAGAAGAGAGGTGGAACAGAGGGGGGGGGATGGGGAAGAAGGGGAGCATGGAATAATGAGAGCTTGGCACAACACAACCTACAGCCTGTACTGAATACACTTTTTCAAAGGCGCCACAAACATTGTCCTTCTGATTATAATGCCCAGGTTGGTCGCTGCCAACACCAGGTCACGGAAACTCCCCACTTCTGTCCTTTGATGTGCGAATGCGAAAACACCAATGGCTTGAACTGAGAGGTTAACGAAAAAGGCAAGGAGGCCGGGTGCATGTGCCGATGAGCAGCACTTTTAGAAAGACGGGAAAAACTTACTTTTGGCCTTTGATGTGCGAGAACACGAGGCCAAACTTGGCACCACCGATTGCCTCAACTGCGAGGTTGACCAGAAACGCGATGAGGCCGGTGCACGTGCCGATGAGGAGAACGAGCAGCCAGCGCAAGGTGGTGTGGAATATTCTGTCTGCTTGAGTCATTGCCTGCCACTGGCCGTGATGCCACTCTGAGTCGAGAACCCTGAGGGGAGAGAGATATTCACGCATGAACAAAGAGAGAGAGAGACACACACACAAGCATGGACCAATGAGGAGAACGAGCAGCCATCGCATAGCAGGGTGGAAGATTCCATCTGCTTGCGTCATTGCTTGCCACTGGCCGTGATGCCACTCTTCACCACCTAGATCACCGACTCATCATTCAGATTCTCAAGAGTGTCGCTGACATTTGAATCCACCACCTCATCAGCTTCGTCTGGCAGGAGCCCCTCTACCTGCTGCACCGCACCCAACCGACCATCACCACCCACATCACCTACTCGTAGTCCAGGCTCTCGAGGTTGTCACTTGCTGCCATCACACGTCACAAGTGAAGCAAATCACCTGTCTGAATCTATTGACTGCTGAACCGCACCCAACCGACCATCACCACCATTATCAGATAAGAAATCACCTACTCATAGTCCAGACTCTCGAGGTTGTCACTTGCTGCCGTGACACGTCTCCTGCTGCTCCTCCCCTCGCTCCCACCGCCCCACGCCTTGCCGCCACTGCTCCTCCCACTGCCGCTCCCACTGCCGCCCAATGCACTATCCAACAAAAACGCATCTTCACGCGATGTTAACCCCTCTTCCTCCTCCTTTCCCCCATTAGTAGCTCCCTTCTGTCCTAGCAAGCTTTGGGTGTCAACACTAACATTCCCCTCGAAAATGGAGGGAATTTCCAATGTTGGTCCTAAAGCTTCCAGTCCTTCCAGTCCTTCCAGCCTTTCCAGCCTTTCCGGCCGTTCTCGCCGGAATCCTGTCTCCAGAAAACCGTCTGTTTGGACAACGTCAGATTTTGCGGGGTCGTCGTTAAGTTGACGGAAACCGTCGGAATGAACTGCTAGCCGTCGGGATTCCTCCGACAGAAGAGGCTGCTCGACGTCCTCAGAGATCTCGACCGTCGATGCTCTAACCATGACGAATAAGGCTTTCTGGCGAAGCGCGCGGAAATCCTCCCGCGACGGCGAAGGGCACGCGCTAATAGTAAGGCTTCAGCGTGGGGCAATCCGCGTCGGGAAGCAGAGCGCGCTAACAATGCGTTAGCGCGCGGAAATCCCAAGCAACGGAGAAGGGTGCGCGCTACTGGTAATGCTTCACCGTGGGGAAATCCGCGACGGAAAGGGGCGCGCGCGGAAAATGCCAGCGCGCGGCGATCCGCGATGAACAAGGCCTTTTGAGGCGCCTCGAAAGATCCGCGCTCTTTCGGCGAAAGAAGCTACTAATTCCTGTCACGACCGATGGGCCTCTCCGTAAGTCATGGACCTCCTCCGCGAAGGAAGAATTCTTTCCGTTACCGTTAGCGTCCGGCAGGAGGAGGCTCCTTCGTGAGTCACGGACCGCTTAGAACAACAAACGCGTCATAGATTGCCTTCGCAAGCATCGTGAAGGAAAGGCATGGATAGACGATCATAACGCCCTATCACCCCCTCGGAAACCTCGATAACCTCGCGGACTCGCTCCAGACGACGTCGAGTCGGACTATCGTGACGGCTCGTCTGGAATCTGGTGGAACCGGGCAGAAAATGTCAAGCCACGTGGCGATGTTCGCAAATCTGAACTTATCGTCGTCAATCGTGACGAAAGGGCTGACCAAACGGAGCGAACGGTCCGAGAGAGAGAGATCACGAGAACGCGCAGCAGCAAAGCTCCAACTAGGACCAATCATATGTGCTGATCGTCATGCAATAGACTCATATAGCACACGCACCGCATGCGCGCATTCGTTCGCATCCATTGCATCCTACCCTCCCCAATGCCACCCCCACGACGGTGACGTCACGTCATCATCCGCGGCAGCATCCATGGCGCGGCGCGTGGATTTTTTAGCCGCCGCAGAGCTGCCGCATCTGCCGCCACCACCAACTACGGAGGGGCAGGATAAATTGCTGCTATGCGCGCAAGGTAGGAAACACGCGACAGCGGAAATTCGGGCCAACATCATAGACATGCAGATTTGTATGGTAACCCTATCCCATGGTATGCAAAACTGTCTTACCTCAGTTTTGGATGTATTGACATGCTGCCCTAATACCGCGTTTGTTTTTAATTCAAAATTTGAACCCTACCGCGCTTGCCTTCGCACTAAAAGGTGATTTCTTCGGGCCAAGAAAAAAATAAAACCCAATCGGAACGGGATGCGTCAGGGAGGCATCAACCCTAAAAACAATGTCCTTTCCCGTGTTTAGGGTTGATCCCTCCCGGAAATGCGTCCAGTTCCCTAGGGGTTTTATTGTTTTTCAGCCCTGCCCTAACACTTCTAAGTAGCAATATATTGGGTGCAATATATTGTTACAAAACGGACCCCGTATAATTTCATTCCAATGGATTTTTCGTAAATGTATCGTGCACATTCAGCGGAAAGTAGTAGCCCGGAGGAATATTTGTTAGACGCAAAACGGGGCGCGGTAAGAACCACGAAGATACGAAATCGAAAATGCAACCGATTACCTCTCATATTTCTTCCTTTTTTGTGCTGCGTCAGCTGTTACACAGTGTTTTGAGTGGCGCTACCAGACAAACTTGCGCAGCAGAACTAGGGTATCGACGGTTTTGCGTACCATTGGATAGGGTTACCAGACTAATTTGCATGTCTATGATGTTGGCCCGCGGAAATTCGATTCCGCAGCTCCCCCGTTACACGACCAAATTTTGCGCGCAAGCCCTCCCTTCCCGGCTTTCCGCAGCCCCTTTTACAGGGGGAGGCCGCGTAGTCAGAAGCTTCCCGCTTTGGGCCGAGGTTCGGGAGCGGGGGCCGAAGGCGGGGCGGAAAGCTGCCCAAAAAACGTGCGACTCGTCTGGATGCAGCGGATGGTGCGACGGGACTGGATGCACTGTCGAAAGTTCCAGATTTCTTTCTGGACGCCGCGTATAGTAAAATCGACTGCGATATTAGGTACAGAAGGACAGATAACGAACAAAGGTTTTCAACCTTGGTACACAAACATGGAACGTAACATTGGAGATTATATGATAACTATGCTTTTAGGGAAACCTGGTCCCTGGACTTTTCTTGTCCATTCAACCTGCTCCCCATTCAACAATGGAGACAAACCATCACTGTGATATCTTGTCGCACATACCAATAACTCTTTCCAAAAAATCCACCTCTCAAGCCGCTCCACCCGAACTACCACCAGCACCCAGAAACAGATCAAAGGCCCCCACAACATGGCGTAGTCACCTTTAGCAATATTGCTTAACGACGTCTGGCCGTTGGCCTCTTGGCTTTGACCACTCTCCTCCCAGGCGTGGGCGCACCCGCGCCCATCGAGAACCCACCACCACCAGCAGGAGCCCCACCCCCACCACCACCACCGCCACCAGCAGCACCAGCTCCAAACACCATAGACGGCGCAGCAAACCCACCGCTCCCACCACTCCCCGCTGGCGACGGGGAAGCAGCAGCACCACCGAACGAAAACGGGGCAGCGCCGGGGGCGGCACCGCCAGCTGCAGGTTGCCCGAACGCAAAAGGATTAGCCCCTGCCGGGGACGGCGAGGCTCCGAAAACGACAGGAGGAGTAGATGCAGCCGGCATGCCACCTGACATGTTGAATCCATTCGTACTCGCTGGCTCCATAGACATAGTATTCTGCTGCATTCCACCAAAGGGGCTGCTGCTCCCAGCGGCTCCTGGGAAGGCTGGGGCTGAACCAAAGGGAGCAGCAGAGGCAGCAGGAGCAGGGGTGGACCCGAATGCGAAGGCGCCAGGAGCAGCAGAGGGAGAGGGAGTGGAGCCAAAGGCAAAGGGATTTGCACCTGCTGCTGCTCCCGCTGCTGCAGGTGCCCCTGGTGCTGCTGCTCCCCCTCCCCCCCCTCCAAAGGTGAAGGGTGCGGCTGCTGTTGCTCCTCCTCCTGCTGCTGGGCCTGCTGGGGCCCCGAAGGAGAATGGAGCAGGAGAGGAGGCAGGCTGGGAGGCGGCAAAACCAAACGGCGATGCTGCTGGTGCAGATGCCGCTGCCGGAGCTCCTGGTGCGGCAGCGCCGAACGTGAACCCAGGTGCGGCGGCAGGACCGGAAGAACCAGCGGAGAATCCAAAAACAGGAGCGGGAGACGAGGAGGCAGCAGCAGCAGGGGTGGTAGAGGCAGAGGGGGCTGAAGCTGCCGAAGCGCCAAAGGCAAACCCAGTAGCGGCACCGGTGCTTGCAGCAGCAGGGGCACCGAAAACAGGTGCTGGGGTGGTGGCTGGGGTCCCAAAGAGCGGAGCTGTAGCAGCAGCTGTTGATGAGCCGAATGCAGGGGTAGAGGAGCCGAAAGCAGGGGCGGACGATCCAAATGCAGGGGCAGATGAACCAAAGAATGTGCCAAACGAGGGGGCGGATGCTGCGCCAAAGGCAGGGGAGGATGCAGCGCCAAAGGCAGGAGCTGCAGCAGTGGTGCCAAAGGTTGGGGCAGCGGCAGAGGATCCGAAAGCAGGAGCTGCGGCAGTGGCGGCAGTGGTGGTAGAAGCAGCACCAGAGCCGAAGGCAGGAGCAGAGCCGAATGCCCCAAAGGAAGGAGCAGGCTGACTGCCAAACGAGGGAGCGGCTGTGGTGGTGGTGGCAGCAGCAGCAGGAGCAGCAGCAGAGCCAAAGGCTGGAGTGGTGGTGGTGGTTGCAGGTGCGGCAGATGCAGCAGTTGCAGCAGCAGAAGGACCACCAAAAGCTGGAGCCGAGGCAAGGCCGAAGGACGGAGCAGTCGCAGTAAGGCCGAAGGATGGGGCAGTTGCGGTGCCAAAAGTAGGGGCAGTTGAAGTGCCGAAAGAAGGAGCGGTTGTGGTGCCTGTTGATGGGGTGGTTGCGGTCCCACCGAACGATGGCGCAGCGAGACCGAAGGAAGGGGTAGAAGAGGCGGCAAAACCAGTTCCTGTGGCTGTAGCTGTGGCTGTGGTGGCAGAGCTTGGAGCAGAAGCAGCTGCGGGGGTGGAAGGTGGGCTGAGGCCAAATGACGGTGCTGATCCCGAGCCAAAGGCAGGTGCGGTTGATCCCGAGCCGAAGACCGGTGCGGTGGATGCCGAACCGAAGGCAGGTGTGGTGGATGCCGAGCCAAAGGCAGGTGCGGTAGATGCCGAGCCAAAAGCAGGTGCTGTGGATGCCGAGCCAAATGTAGGTGCAGGAGGAGTGGTGGTGGTTGTGGTGGCAGGGGCGGAGGCAGGAGGAGCAGCAGAAGCAGCCCCGAAGAGTGGAGCTGCGGCTTCCGACGGAGAGGAGGACCCTGCTGGGCGAGGAATCGGGGGAAAAGGAAAAGAAGAAAGGAAAAAACAAACCAATCCAAAACAAAACAAAACAAAACAAAACAAAACAAAACAAAACAAAAACAAAATAAAAAACAAAAACAAAAACAAAATGATTAATTTAGACATGAGGAAGATGGAAAGAGGAGAGGTGGAGGGAGAGGGAAGAGGGGGAAGGGGAGATGGAGAGAGGAGAGAGAGGAGAGGGAAATGGAGACGGAAGCGATGAGAGAGAGGGCTAGAGAATGGGAAGGGGAAACTCGAAAATTCCGCGACAGCAAGAAGCAAGCAGTAAGGAGCAAGGAGCAAGCAGTACGGAGCAATGAACAAGAAAACACCTGCAGGAGGCTTTCCAAAGCCAGAGAGCGAAGGAGGCGAACCACCCGCCTCCCATCCCACAGGCAACTAAAAGACCACCAACACACACCTGTGACACGTATCAAGCACACACCTGCAGGAGGAGGCTTTCCAAAGCCAAAGAGTGAAGGCGGCGAACCACCCTCCCCCACTCCTCCCACAGGTGACGACGACACCCTCCGCTTCCTCCTCGGCTCCGCCTCCTCTTCCTCGCCTCCTCCCCTCCTTCCGACATCACCCCCCTCCTCTCCTCCCCTTCGTCCCCTATCCCCCCCATCACCGCCACCAAAGGCGGTAGCCACTCCTGCATCCTTTGCAGCAGCTGGAGCAGCGGCCGCGGGTTTAAAGCCAAACAACGCCCCTGCTGGTGCTGGTGCTGTCCCTAAAGCCGCTCCTCCTCCTCCTCCTCCTGCTGCTGCTGCTGCTGCTGCTGCAGGAGAAGCCACTGCAGCTGCTGGTTTGATGCCGAACAGCGGTCCTGCTGTTGCGGAAGCTCCTCCTGTGAGTGCAGGTGCTGGTGCTGGTGCTGCGGATTGAGAAGCGTTGGAAGCAGGGACGGAGGGTGTGGGGGAAATGCCAAAGGAAGGAGCACTGGCAGAGGTAGCGGCAGCAGGGGCAGGGGCAGGGGCAGGGGCAGCAGGAGCAGAAGACCCAAAGAGAGAGGTTGTGGCAGCAGCAGAGGAGCCAAAGGAGGGGGCCTTGAACCCAGACGCACCAAAGGATGGCGCTGCTGCTGCTGGAGCTGCCACAGGTGGTGCTGCTGTGGATTTGCCTTGGGAGGTGTCTGGTGATGCTGGCTTTGCAGGAGTGGGTTGTGGCGCGAGAGTTGCTGCATGCGCTGCTGAGCCAAAGAAACTGGAATGGGGCAAGGGAGGGGCAGGGCGGGCATGGGGGAGCAGGGCGAGTGAAAAGAGTTGCAACGGAAAAGAGTGAGAAGGGGTGTCTAGTGATGCTGGCTCTGCAGGCGTGGGTTGTGGCGCGAGAGTTGCTGTGCATGCTGCTGAGCCAAAAAAAAAGGAGAGAGAGAAAAAAGGGAATGGGGCGAGAGAGGGGTGGGCATGGGAGGGCAGGGCGAGCGAAAAAAAAGGCGGGAACAGAAACGCGGGATGGGCAGCGGAGTTTAGAATACAATATACTGGGGAAATGGGGGAGTTGACAACGAAGCATTATATTTCAATCATGTGCACCACTCCTTACCCTAATGCTCCCACACTAGTCCCACACAGTCCCACACCCCTCCATCTCACCTTCCAGTGGTAGCACCCGTGCTCTTTTCCTTGCCTCCCTCGCCCTTGCTCTGCTCCTCGCCCTTCTCCCCCTCGCGCTGCTGCCCGCCAGCCGCAGGGGCTGCAGAAGCAGCGTCCGTTCCTGTTTTAGCTGCTTCTCTATCTGCCTTCTTGCTGCCTCCTGCTCCTGTTGCTCCTGCTCCGCCTGCTGCTGCTCCTCCTTCTGCTCCGCCTGCTCCTCCGCCTGCTGCTACTGCTGCGTCCTGGCTTGGCCTGTCCTCCTCGTCCTCCTGTGTGCCAACGAACGTGGGGGGCAATGACACGGGTTTGCACACGTTATCAGGAGACTCAAACATAGGGAGTAGGAGGGAAATGAAACTACAGCCAGTGAAAAATGGTGGCCATTATGTCTGCGAACTTTAGCGACGAGTTATAGTCATGCTAATATCCCATCCAAACCCTTCCAAACTCTCCAAACCCATTCAGACCCATCCAAAAAATCTCACCTCGAAAACAGACATTCTGAACCCATGGCGGCCCCTCCTCGTCCCCTGCCCATCCTCTCCCTTCCCACCATCCACCAAAGCCCCTCCACGCCTCACCTCCCCACCCTCTTCCGCTATCACCCCCTCCTTCTCCCTCCCCAGCCCATCGCCCCTCTGCTCCTGCTGCCCCTGCTGCTGCTGTTGCTGCTGCTGCTTCTGTCTCTGCTGTCCCTGCTGTTGTTGCTGCTGCTGAGGCTGCTGTTGGTTTCCTCGGCTTCTCGTCCCATTCTCCCCCCCTTCCCCACCGCTCTCCTCCTCCACTACTTTCTCTTTTCCCTTCAATCTCTGCACCTCACTACCCCCACTCACTCTCCTCCTTTCCCCTGCCCGACCAAAACCCTCCGCAGCAGGCAAAGCCCCAGCCATCCGATCCAACGTATCCAGAATTTTCCGGGCAGATTGCGCTGACCGGGAAGGAACGTTTGCTAGAATCTGGTCTCGCTTTAACTGTTGCAACAGCTGCTGCTGCTGCAGAGGCAACCAGTCGTCCCTATCCCCTTCTCTAAGCCTCCTTAAAGCCCTCCCTCTTCCCATCCTCCTGCTCCACCCTCCCTCCTCCTCATCCTCCTCTCCCTCCGCTGCTGCTGCCAGCACTGCTGGCGAAAACGACACTCTCCTCTGGCGATTCTGGTTACCAGTCCCACCGTTACGCAGCCCTCCTGCGCTTGGAACGATGCTGCCCCTGCGCCTATGAGGAACGGCTGAGGGGCTTATAAGGGGTACAGCACCCCAAGGGCTTACACTGGTTGGGGCGGGTTCATGCAGTTGTGCGTTGCTGCGCTTGCGAGACTGCCAATGGCAACGGAGGGACAGAGGGACAGAGGGACAGGGGAAAAGAGGAACAGAGGGGCACAGGGACAGCGAAATAAGACAACTGCTAATCATTGCTTTCAACAAACAAACAATACATCACTGAAGTCTGTCTTGCATTGCAACTCGCTCCGTAAGCTTAAGCCAGTCCCGTCCCTTGCATTTCTTTTCTTTCCATTCCAATCCCACATCCAACGCCTCACCTTGGTTGATGGCGTCAGCTGGGTTTGGTACGGCGTCCAGGCTCGGAGGCTCACTCCCTGCAACGGACGGAACCACAGGGCAGTGAGAAGGGTAGGGGGGGAGGGGTGGAGAGGGTGGTCGTATTTTTGAGTCGTCTCGAAATACACTCATTTCCCGGACTCACTCATTTCCAAGGCAATGAGAAGGGTGGGGTGGGGTGGGGTGGGATTGGTTTCAGGAAAAGAGGATATAGTGGGTCGTAGGAACGCCCTTGCCACGTCTACAGGCAACGACTCACTCCACTCTCTCACTCACTCACCTTCTCAGCCGCTTCTGCTGCTACTGGTGCCAGGGGTGGTGTTTTTGCTGCAGGAAAAGCGGCCATACTGGGTCGCATGAACGCCCTCGCCACGTCTACAGGCGACACGTTCATTCCATCGCCATCAGCACCTCCAGAAATGTCATCAAGTGTCACCCGAGGCGTAACCTGAGGTGTAACCCGAGGCGGAACCCGAGGTGTAACCCGAGGTGCAACGTGCGCAGTGGTAACTGCATTTTCCCGCCCTCCCATTCCATCTGCCGCCACCCAACTACCACTGCCGCCAGTCCTCCTTCTCTTCCCCGCAGATGCTTCCACCCTCCCTTCTTGCCCCTCCTCCTCTTCCTGCCGCCTCCCCTCCCCTTCCTCTTCCTCTTCCCCTTCCCCCTCCTCGTTCTGCTCATCCTTCTCCTCCTGCGTGCCATCTGCCCTCTCTGCTTCGCCGCTCGCCACGTGCTGACGTAGCAGCTCATTCAGCCGCTGAAACTCGCGCCTGTGGGGTAGGGCCGTGACACGTGTCAGAATGTGGTGACACGCAAGGGAGTAATCATAAGTTCCAAGTGAACGTGATCCCTTACATTGAACGTTATATACAGCCAGTGGAGATTACGAATGACGGAAACAAATGCCGCGAGTTAACACTGAGCCAATGATATATGTTACCAGCAAACGAATCCGAATAAAGCACAGCGAAAGCGGCATCGCACTTCTCAGCAGTTGCGTGACCGTTCATCACTGCACCTTCGTCCCCATATTTCCCGTCTCTGTGACTAATTAACCGCGAAACACCTACCTGCAAAATAAAAGGCAATCTGTGAATCTGCATCAGTACGTACAACGAAAGCGGCGTCCCTCGTCTCAGCAGCTGCTCAACCTCCGTCAACACTGCGCCTTCGTTCCCCTGCTTCCCGTTCCTTCCTCCCGCCAATCGATCCCGGATATTATCAGCAGCAGCACTGCCACCAGAAGCAGCAGCAGCAGCAGCCAAAACATTCGCTCCCTCCGCCGGCTCGCTGCTAGTTGCGCCGTCAGACGGTCGCTTGTCCGACACGCCTTGCTGCTCGCCTTGCGTGTTACGCCGGTTACCGTCTGGAGAGAACATCAGGAAAAAGGTCACGCATTTTAAGCGATTTACTGGAAACGTTGATGACTGGATGCGTCAACACGGCGACTCGATACTAGCCTAGGCAGTAACAATGCTGTCTAACGCGGTTTGAAACGTCAAAAACCTACCGATAAGCGTGAAGGTATAGAAAGTGAAGTAAGCGGATCGATAATTCCGATTAACTTCACTAAACTAAATCAGACCACGAGAGCGCATCGTCAAAACCCACGGTATTGATGCGATCTCGCTACATAGATATATCCGTTATTTATGATTCGTCATTGAGTACCTCGCGAGCTCCAAGGCCATCTGACGAGCGATCCAATCGAATTCCGCCACGAGCCAAACCAGCCGCGTCCCGCGCCTTCCACCCCGTCTTGCTTCGGCTCATCCCTCCTTTCACCATTCCTCCCCGGCGCTTCTTGCAACGCGTCTGCGCGGCCTTGGGATTCCCCCGGAGATCCCGCTGCCGACGTGGCAGTTCGAATCGCTGCTGCTGCGTAGCCAGCAGCAGCGTGCCGTCCGGAAGTAGGTCTCGCGTAAGGCGCGGACGAGCGACTCGCATGGCGCTTCCCATGAGAGGCTTTCCCTCCTTTGCCGCTACCGTCGACGCCAACCCATCCGTTCTCGTTATAACCACCTTCGACCGCTTGCGAGCGACGGTACGGAAAGTCGCCGTTTAAGGCAGCTAACGGAACCGACTCCATCCTAGCAGACGAATCTATCTAGCAAAGGTGACTCTAGCGAACCCAGCTCCCAGTGCCTTCGGAATCAGGAAAAGAAAGAAAAGAGGATAGGGGACTAGTCTCTGGATCATTATGCGAGGCCAGTCCCTGAATGGACCTGTATGGACCTAGAAGTGAGGTGAGCTCTACAAAATGGGATGGGATGGGATGGGATGGGATGGGACGGAATGGGATGGGTTGGGGTGGATGTGTGTGTGCAGGTGCAGGAGGGTTTTTGCGGTGGTTGGTTTGGTGGGAAAGATTTTCCGGTGCGGGCAGTTCAAGAAACCAAAATCGGTACTAAGTTAGGCTTTACTGGAAGTTAGAATAAGCTAAACAGTGTTCTTTGCTTCTGTTTTCCTACCTTCTGAGAAATCCGCGTTATTCAACTACACTTCTCTAAAATAGCTAACTGTATTATCAGATTCTGACTATTTCGATATCTGTTGTGACTCTAACAGTTTGTATTTGCAAATTCAAATGCTCTTCTGGGTTCCCGCCAAAAGCAACTCCCAGAGTTCTCTTGGGAGTGTTCTGTCCGTCCTCAAGAGGCCCCTGACATGAAAATCGGTTCTACCGTTTCGCTGCTCCTGACAACTAGAAAGGCTTCACTCTTGCGATTGTTAGCTCGTGCGTCTGCTGTGGTAAAAAAACTTTACCATTGGCGTCCGTTTCAACCCACTTCAGTTCCGAAATCTCAACTCTTTACAGTGACGGCGTGCAGCTATTTTTGAAGCTGTGTGCCGCTCATTTCTGACTCGACAAAGCTGCAACTTGTGCTCTTAATCAATGGGTAGTCCGATTTTATCCGACGAGAACATGACAGACCATTTCGAACCTCCAGCGAAAGTTGAAGATACAGACCCTGCTGTCTCGGCCGAGCCGCAAGATATCAAGCCGTCCGTCGCCGAATCGTGTTTCAGCACGGACCTACTAAGAATCTACTATCGCCGCCTCTTCCCCTACGCAGACATGGCTCGCTGGCTCTCGTACGGCAACGACAGGAAACTTCCCGGAACCGACGCGTCGTATCCCCAGCGTCGCGAGTTCTCGTTCACTCTAGAGCACGACATCTACGTGCGATACCAGTCGTTCCGCGACGCCGCGGACATGGAGGCCGCCATCCGCGATAAGAACCCGCATAAGATCGACATAGGAGCCGTCTACAACGTCGACGTACGTCAGATTTGCCGTTAGTTTTTAAGTCGTTTCCCTGTGTGCTTTCGATGGCAGGCGGCGAGTAGGAAAGCTTGTGTTCGTTCCAGTATTCCATATAATCTCTCTTCGTTTTTAACATGTCTTCTTCCCGTATGTACCAGCCGGCGAGACGAGCGGCGTATCAGGGAATCGGGTCGGAGAGCGCGTTCGCTCCCGTGGAACGGGAGCTTGTTTTCGACATCGTAAGTTGCCAGTACTCGTTCTTACCACTTCTCGCTCCTATCACTTTTCGTTCTTATCACTCTCTTTTGAGTACACTCTGAAAGCATGCGCAGACGCCTCACCCCTGTCTTCAACGTACCCCCGTGCCTTTCACGACAATGGTGTCAGACCCCACCCCACCCCACCCCCACCCCACCCCCACAACTTCGTCACTAACTGTAAGCGACCACGACGATGGTTGGACCTGCTGAATCAGGGAAGCAGACATCAAGTGCCGATCACTCATGACGTGCATTGGCTACATGTATTCTTTCGTTTGCTGCCTCACTCGTTACAGGATATAAGCGACTACGACGATGTGCGAACCTGCTGCTCAGGAGCGTCGGTGTGCACCAAGTGCTGGCCGCTCATGACAGCAGCCATTAAAGTCGTCGACACTGCCCTTAGAGGTGCGCTTCTTGTCGACACAAGTTAATGCTGGCCGCTCATGACAGCAGCTAGTCCACACCGCTCTTAGAGGTACTTTCCTGAGTCGACTAAAAAGCACACCTGAAAACACACCAAGTGCTGACCGCTTATGACAGCAGCTATTAAAGTTGTCGGGAAACCGCTCTTAGTGGTACTTTCAGAAGACTTCGAGCACATCCCTTCACTGTGCATCTCTTTTGGGTCAGTGGCATGTATTATACAGAACTACTTACTCTCGTTTTTTTCACTCTCTCTCCCGACCTGTGCATATCACTTCCCACCCGCCAGAAGACTTTGGGTTCGAGCACATCTTGTGGGTGTTCAGCGGCAGGACTTGTGGGCTGATTCTTTATTCAAGGATTCACCCTCTTTCCCCCACTCTCCCTCCCCACCTGTGCATATCTCTCCCCACCTCTCCCCACCTGTGCATGTTTCTCCCCACCTGTGCATATCTCTCCCCACCTGTGCATATCTCTCCCCACCTGTGCATATCTCTCCCCACCTGTGCATATCTCTCCCCAACTGTGCATATCTATCCCCACCTGTGCGTATCTCTCCCCACCCACCAGAGGACTTTGGTTTCGAGCACATCTTGTGGGTGTTCAGTGGCAGACGAGGCGTGCATTGCTGGGTGTGCGACAAACGAGCAAGGAGGTGAGGGGAGGCAGCAAAAGAACCGGGATGGGCAGTGAGAGAAAGATATGGTTACTTCTATAGTGGTGGCAGGGGAATAGTTGGCAGGGAAGGTTGGTGCCTAGAGGTTGGGCTTGTTTTATTTTTTTAGATAACTCAAAAGCAATACAACCCTGGAAGGTTAGAAATTGAATTCCGAGACGTCTTGAAAATGCAATCCTAGGAAAGAAAGTTTTCTGCCATGCTTGCTGCTGCAAAGTCTGCATTATTTCTCTGCTGATGTTCCCTTTCAACTGAATCCCCTCTGCTTCCGCCCCATCCCCATCCCCAACACTCATCAGATTAACCAATGAGCAACGATCGGCAGTAGCTGAATACTTTCGAGTGTATAAGGTACTAGGGATAACCGTCATTTGATTACTTATCCAATATAATCCGTGTGGAATGAGACGAGTTTTGAGCCGCCTCAAAACCAGTGAGCAACGGTCCGCACCGCAGTGGCTGAATTCTTTCGAGTGTATAAGGGTCCAGCGATAACCGTCATCTGAATGCGCATGCACTTGTGACACCAACTGCAGGAAAATGCTATTCGAGGTTCAATGGGTTTGTTTGCTGTTATGTGCATGTATTGAAGTTCATTTAATGACTCACGTTCTACTTACACCATTAACACCACACTAACACGATATCAACACCATGTGCAGGGAACTGAAGCCAATGGAAGCAAGGTGTCTTTCTCCGGTGCTGCTCTTCACCCCTCCCTCATGTAAGCAAAGCATATTCCCTTCCAGTATTGGATAACAATTGGCCTTTCAACACAACTGAAGTTTTTTTTGTAGGGTTTGTCACATGTCGGCCTACCTTGTGTTGTATCGTTCGACTCGCCCTTACCCTTTTGGGATTCATTGAACCGCACTAAACCACCTTTCACTCGTTGTTCTCGCCCTCAACCTTTCAGGAGGGCTTACGACCAAGTACTGCGAGGCACGTTCGAGAGTGAAGTGCTGCCAAATCAAGAGCTGCTTTTAGGATTCATTGAACCGCATTGAACCTCCTTCCACTCCTGTGTCTCGCCCTCAACCTTTCAGGAGGGCTTACGACCAAGTACTGCGAGGCACGTTTGAGGGTGACGTGCTGCCAAACCAAGAGCTGCTGAGCCAACCGGACACGTGGAAAAGGGTGCTTGCCCAGCTGCAAGACCAAGGTCAGTCAAAGTGCGACTTATGCACAAGGTGCACAAGGTGCGATTCAAAAGGGGGGTCGCCAAAGCATTAGCTGCTGAGCCAACCGGACTCGTGGAAGAGGGTGCCTGCCCAGCTGCCAGACCAAGGTACGATCGTGCACGAAGCCACTGTAGCACGTCACACACACACCGCTAATAGTGAGGTGTATTTTGAGGCGCCTCAAAATACACCTCACTGCAAGAGGGTGCTTGCTCAGCTGCCAGACCAAGGTACGATCGTGCATGAAGCCACTGTAGCACGTCACACAACGCTCATGCCCCTCATGCCCCTGATTCCCCTCATGCACCCCATTGAATCCTTTTGTATTGGCCCGCACCACTCATCGCGCTTTTCTTGCATTTTCCCCTCCCTTCAATCCCCCGCCCCAGTCCCCCGCCCCAATTCTCGGCCCCAATGCCCCACCCCAATTCGCCGCCTCAATCCACCAACCCCATCCCCCTTCCCGATTCCCTGCCCATCCCACGCCATGCAGAGCTGCAGGATCGGATGGATGCCACGTGGCGCAGCGACAGCAGGCGTGCGTCAGCAGCTGCTGACGTCAACGTGTACAGGTGGCAGCAGCTGGAGGCCACCACGCGAGCTGCGGCTAAGAAGGTTACCACCCTCCCTCAGTTGTATCTTATATTGGGCTGCTATGTTGGTAACACCTCCCTCGCTTGTATTGGGCTCATATGAAGGTAGCACCTTCCTCAGTTGTATCCTATATTGGGCTGCTATGAAGGTAAGGGCTGCTGTGCGCCCCATTTTCTTCCGTTCACATCCCTCCCTGCGTGCAGAATGTGCCGCCAGCCGAGCCGAGGAAGACTGCAGAGGAGATAGTGATTGCAGTCTTCCTCGGAAATGTGACATCGCACCCTCGCCTCTGAGTGTGCTTCTGATGCGCCTCCGAAATGGTCCCTGCTGCTTGCTCGTTGCCCTTTCTCCTCCTCCCTCTGTGCAGAATTTGTCCCTCAGGAAAGCGGTGGAGGAGATAGTATTTGCCTTCACGTACCCTCGCCTGGATCTGGAGGTGGGTGTGTCTTGTTCGTTTCGGCCTTGTGAGCTTGATGCGTCTATGTGCATCGGTAATAACCTGCGTGTCATTACAGTTTTCGAAGCACATGAACCATTTTGTATTCTATTGACTCAAATGGCATTCCGTGTACCTCTGCCTATTTGTCTATCTCTCTATGTCTCTTATGAGTCGACTCAAAGGCACATGTCTGCTGTTCCTCTGACCCGCTGTCTTGCTATCTCTCTGTCTCTCTCTTTCTCTGTCTCGCTGTCTCTCTGCTCCTCACAGGTGTCGAAGCACATGAACCATTTGCCATTGAGTCAACTCAAGTGCACCCCCACATTTTGCTATCTCTCTGTCTCTCTGCCTCTCTGCCCCTCTGTTCCTCACAGGTGTCGAAGCACATGAACCATTTGCTCAAGGCCCCGTTCTGCGTGCACCCCAAGACAGGTAACGTCCCGCCTGTGTTGGTGCCATCGCTTGAGTAGGTCCACTTATGACCTTTGAGAATTCTCAAAAGATGAGAGTTCTCGAAAGTGATCCACGTATACCATTTTCTAAAAGTACCGCTCTGCGTGCACCTGAAAACGGTGATTCAAGTTTTGCTCACTTTTCCTGTGCTGTATCTCTGGTACTGTTTGTGTGTGTGTGTGTGTGTGTATGTCCATCGTCCCTCTCACTACCCACACTCAGGTGCCGTGTGTGTGCCCATTGATCCGGCCAACTGTGCTGACTTCGAGCCAAGCCAAGCCCCGACACTCAATCAGGTGCTCTTATCTCCCTCGTAAACACACCCCCCTCTAATTCTAATACGTCCCTAGCCCCAGAATCAATCAAGTGCTGTTATACCCCTCCTACCACCTCTCTCCAAAAAAAAAAAAAAATCTGTTACTTTCACCCCCTCCCCTCCTGCCTTTCCCTGGCTTCATATCTGGTTAGTGTAGTGTCGTCTCAGCAGAGCAAGCCAAAGATAATTCCACAGCTGTTGGATATTCTTTGTACCCTTCCCCATTGCCAATGCAACCTGTTTAACTAAGCTCACAAAAACACTGCAGCCTATGAATCTTACTTTCTTCTCTTCCTCAGCACTCCTGCTCTCCGTTTCCTCCCTTTACCCTCCCTGACTCCTCATTTCAGCTGGTGGTTGAGATCAATGGCTCCTTTGCTGCTGCCTCCTCCCGATCATGAGATGGCTCCTCTGCGGCTGCACCCACTGCTGCTGGGGCTCCTAGCCCTCATGCTTCCTCCTTATCCTCCCATCGTCCCCCACCCCCCTCAATCCCTGCTATCCGCACAGCTGGTGGGTGAGATCAATGCAGCCAATCGGACATCAGATGGCACTGCTGCTACGGCCACAGGTATGGTTCCCTTGCTGCAGCTCCTTCTCCTCGTTCCATCTCCTAGTCTTCTTTACCTCTCAATCAATTTTTTTCGACTTATATCCTGTCCCTCGTCCATACTTTTGTGCACTTGCTGTTCGATACATGGGCTTTTGACCTTTTTTGCATTGCTTTGTCTCCGTATCTTGTGCAATGCTCTGGCTCTCTCTCTCTCTCGCTTGCTCGCTCCACTGCAGGCATTGAGGCGACCTCACTCGCTCCTTTCTTGGAAATCTTCCGAAGCACCTTCCTGCGGCCATTGCTTGCTGCTTCCAAGGTGATGAATCCGCTGAGTAGCCCCGTATTTCATCAACTACTCATTCATTATATATGAGCGACTTTCAGGGCCTTCTGTGCTATTGCTACTTGTTCCGATTTGTCGCAGGCTTTGACCTTGCCTGTATCGTGTTCTGTATTGCAGGAGGAACTGGAGGCAGAACATAAACAGAAGCTTCACAGTGGTGCAAACGCCAGAACAGTGGAATGGTAGTGCTTTCCTATACAGCCCAGCCCAGTGCGAAGCTTGCCAACAATATGTATATACTAATGCTGCCAATCACTTGCTACATTGCTGAGTCCATTATCAAATTTTAAAGCCTGTGATGTGAAGATCTTACCTAACAGCAATCAGCATAATGGTCATGGAGGAGCGACCAGGGGGTTTCCAGGTCTGAATTAACGTACAGGGCGCATGTGCAGGGTATTCCCTAGTGATGTCGAGCACCTAACAGCAATCAGCATAATGTTTTAGAATCCAAAACACCCCGTTCAGGTTGCCACCATGTTACTGTTCTTACCCTGTGCAAAACTGTTTGATAGAACAGCATAATGTATGTGAACAATTATGGTATGGTACACCTGGTGCAGTTTCTTCCATCTGTTTTTCTGTGAATGAGACGGATGCAGTAGAAAAGCTAGAGGAACATTCTCAACAACACTCCATCCTGGGTATGCAGCAAGAGAGTGATTCTTGTTAATTGATATTGCATATCTTATACCTGCCTATAGCTTGCTAGTGTATTAGTTTAGTTATTAGCATCAACTGCTGGTGGTGTACCCTCTTCTTCTCTCTTCCTTCTCCTATATCTTGTACTCTTGACTAATATCAAACCCCTCTTTTTTGCCAAAACATCTCGATACCATCTCCTAGCTCCAAGCCTTCCTCCTAAGCTCATGCCTCCTACATAGTTACTTTGACATGTTATCAGAGTGTGGTCTTTTCTAGGACCTATTCTAAATGGGCCCACCAACTCCGCCTTCTGCCATGGCGGCCCACTATGCTGCTTGCGCGAAATCTGCTGCTGTTTCCGGAGCCTATGCTAAACCCGTCGCGCGGCTCCCCGTCGCCCTTCGCGGCTGCCCCGTCGACCCGCGCGCCCGTCCCCGTCGACCTGCGCGCGGCTCCCCGTCGCCCTTCGCGGCGGCCCCGTCGACCCGCGCGCGGCTCCCCGTCGCCCTTCGCGGCGGCCCCGTCGACTCGCGCGCGGCTCTCCGTCACCCTTCGCGGCGGCCCCGTCGACCTGCGCGTCGCCCTGCGCCCCCCCCCCCCCCCCCCCTCCCCGCACACCTGAGTTCGCTTTCCGCACACCCGAGTTCGCTTCCCGCACACTTGTGCTCGCTTCGCGCACTCCTGAGCTCGCTTACCGCACACTCAGGGTATGGGGGTGACGGGTATGGGGGTGGCGGGTGTGTGAGCCGTCCCCTGCTTCTCCTCTCCTCTCCTCCAGCCGCCTCTCCCACCTCTCCTCTCTCCTTTCCATTTCCAGCCGCATCTCCTCTCCTCTCCTCCAGCCGCTTCTCCTCCTCCTCTCCTCTCCTCCAGCCGCCCCTCCTCTGCTCTCCTCCTGTGCACCACCAGCAGCTTCCTCCTCCTCACCAGCAGTTGTGTTTGCTCGTAGATGGCGAGCGACCAGCATCCTTCGCCCTCCGGCTATCCCAGCTCTCCTCCGCGCTCTCCGCGCCCTCCTCCGTTCTGGCGTTCACAGGTGCTGCCGGTCAGCAACCGCTATTTCTGTGCATATCCCAGCTACAAGCAACTGTTCTCCAGGTGACCTGGTGCCAGACACCTTTTGCTATAGCCATAGGCAGTTACGGGGGTGTGTTAATTGATATTGCATATCTTATACCTGCCTATAGCTTGCTAGTGTATTAGTTTAGTTATTAGCATCAACTGCTGGTGGTGTACCCTCTTCTTCTCTCTTCCTTCTCCTAAATCTTGTACTCTTGCCTAATATCAAACCCCTCTTCTTTGCCAAAACATCTCGATACCATCTCCTAGCTCCAAGCCTTCCTCCTAAGCTCATGCCTCCTACATAGTTACTTTGACAATTCTCTGTCGGCACAGCTGCCCTCTAACGAGTATGTGCTGTTCTGCATGTGAGCGAGCATAGGCAAATATGCATGCTGTGTAGAGATGCATATGTAGCAGAGCTTGGGAGGAGGGAGTGGCTGGCAGATGCATTGTGTGGGTAGGCAGGTGGTAAGGAGAGGATGCAGAAAGTAGAGGAGCGGGAGTGAGATGTCCAGAAAGGGGGGGTTGAATGGATAGGAATGAGAGAGGTGGGTGGTTGCGAGGGAGGGCAGGAGAGGAGAACAGGAAGGAGGTACCTAAAAGAGATGAAAGTATAGGGCGAAGTGTTGCGGCGAACAGATAGAGGGGAGGGGTAGGGAGAGAGGGAGAGAGAGGGGAGCGGAATGAACGAAGATCGGATGGACGGAGGGAGCACAGGGTCGCAGTGGGGAAGGGAGGGAGGGAGAAAGAGTTGGAGGGAGAGAGTGAGTGACGGAGAGAGCCAGAGGGAGAGAGAGAATGAGAAAAGGAGAGAGGGAGGGAGGCAGGAGGGAGGCAGGAGGGATGGATGGATGGAGGGAGGGGAGGATGGAATGGCGGAGCGGGAGGGAGCGAAGGAGACAAGAGCGGAACAAACAACAAGCGGATGCATGAAGGGAGGTGAAGTGATGAGTGAATAAAGGAGGCAGGAAGGGAGAAGTGTGGAAAACAAAGGAAGATAAGGAGAGAGAGGGACGGACGAGAAGAGTGAATGGAGAACGAGATGTGAGGGAGGGGGTGGGGAGAGAGTGGGTGGGCAAAAGCAGTGAAGGGAGAAGTAAAGGAAAGCTTGGTGACAGGGGGAGGGGATAACGGATGGAGAAGGGAAGACGAGGGGTGGATGAGGAGTGAAGTGGGAAGAGGAAGGGTGGAGGAGGGGTTAACGAGGGGAGGAGGGGGAAGTTGGAGAGGCCAGAGAGATTGAGAAATATGGCGCGGTGAGGGATCGGTAAAGGGGGAAGGGAAGGGAAATGGTGTAGTAGGCGAGCGGGAAGAGGAGAAGGGGCGAAGGGTTTGGGGTTTCGGGTATAAGAGAGTGAAGGACGGTAAATGTGGGGGACGGCAGGTCGGAGACAGCGAAGTGGGGACGATCAAGGGATAGAGATGGGGAGAGGAGACGTGAGTGATATGGGAGGGGACTTGTGGTGCGTCGAGGCCAATGAAAAGGGAATGAGGGTCGACTTGCAGGGAATGCGAGGAGATGAAGAGACAGGCGGCAGTTCGAGGCTGTGGAAGCGAGGGATGGGGTTGTGTTGTTCGATTTTTTTACTGGTAACTTTCAAAACGACAAGCATCAATGTTGCAGGTTGTTAGAGTCGTTCGCCAAGAGCTTGGCTTTGCTCGTTAAGTAACACAAACCCAAGACACACAAGCTGACGACGAAGAACGTCTACGGATCAGCGGGTTTTGGCCCCACAAACAGGTCCCTCTTCACATTTCTTTCACACTCGCACGCATGCTACGCTACGGAGTACGCGAGAGCGATGCGGAATACGTTAAGTAGCACACACACAAAAAACAAAGAGGAAAAACAGGGTCACACACCGTCCCACGCGAACTAAACACCCGCGACGGCACCCGCGAGTGCGTGCGTTGGTCATCGGGTTATTCATGGTTGAGCACTCAGGTAGGCGACACAGAATTCTACTGGAGTTTACAGGGGAGGGGAAGAAGTGGGGAGAGGGGAAAAGGGGGGAAAGTGAGCAAGACAGAAATTAAAATATTCAACATCTAAGACTCCTAATTTCTTTCCAGATCCCAAATTCAAAACCTTTAAGTCAGTCGGTAAAAAGAGGCTCGCAATTATACTCACATCTAAGTGGAGGCCGGCGCAGCGGGTTTCCGGAGCAGCAGCAGGTGTGCGGGAGTGAAGATCCCGGTCTCGCCTCCTTGTGTCAGGTGCACAGCGACCGTCGTCAGCATGTTGTGAACGTCAACCAATCCCTTGGGAGCAATGTTGAGCATCGACACGATCTTCACGAGCAGGTGATTGCGAGCATACGCGATACGGCCGATCTTGAGGCGCGTCCACCAGGGGAGAGCAGGAGGAGCTGCGACATCCCTGTTGTCAATAACTTCGAACCCCACCGCTTCAGCAGCTTCTACGATCTCCTTGTATGACCGAAGCTCCGGAAGCGCGTTCCCGTAGCAGATGTCGTCAATAATCTTAACGTGCTCCTTGTTGTCAGGGTCGTACTTGTGCGTTTTCACCCACTCGTACGTCGCGTAAAGCTGGCCGGGCTTCAGCACGCGGAAGATCTCGCCGTAGACGTCCGTCAGCTTAGGAGCATGGCAGGTAGCCTCGATGGAATAAGCAGCATCGAAGCTGTTATCCTCAAACGGCAGCTCAAGAAAGTTCCCTTGGACAACCGTGCACAGCTTGTCCAAGCCTCTCCGGGCATTGTGCTGCTGAGCACGCTCCACTTGATACTCGTTAATAGTAACCCCGGTAACATTCGCCCCGGACTTCGCCGCGATCGCTCGCATTGGTCCGCCGACTCCGCATCCCGCGTCCAGAGCCTTCATTCCAGGCTTAAGCTTCAATATAGTCGCAATGTACTCCTCATGAGCGATCGTCGCTTCCCTATCGGACTTCCCCGGAAGAGCAGGCGAAAAATGGAAGCTCTGACCCCACCCCCATTCGTAAATGTCGGTCACGAGATTGTAGAATGTGTCGACGAATTGAGGAGCTTGGCTCTTTTCGGTGACTCCTTCGCCTGCGTTTTGTTGGAAGTATTTGTCGTAGTTTGTCCAGCCGTTAGCCACTTCATCCTTCTTCAGCTTTCCTCCGCCGAGCTCTGTGGTCGACTTGCCTTTCACCTCGGGCTTGCCGATGGATGAGAGAACGAACGTTGTTGCGCCAACAACGGCCACTGCAGCAGCTACCCCGAACCACGTCGCCTGGGCCGGAGATATCGAGACGTCAGCGCGGAAAACGCTCGTTACGAGCATTAGCAGATCCATCTCCGCCAGACCTTCACAAAACCTGAAGCAAGAGCTTCCAAAAACTTCAAATCAGGGAGCTAAAAGGGAAATGTCAAACTGGATGTTGAGGTCACAATAAACGCCTTCAGTAGCCCCCTGAACCTTGATCAGGTTTCTGCGGAAGGATAAGGGGGAATTGGGGGGGAGGCGGGGGGAAGGGGGGAAATGGGGGAAAAGGGAAACTTGATTTGGCTTGGGGGCACCACCACCACTTTACAGGCCTGGATTCAGTACTGTTGGTGCCCCCACGCCATTGTAGAGGTCATCAGAATCACATTCGAAATAAGGTTGGGATGGAACCTTCAGTTACAGACTTGACGGGGCTGAGGTTCGCACGAAATTTAGAGGCTCGACTCGAGATTTGCTGTGGGCATGCCTGAGGTTTTGAGATGCTGCGATTGGACAGCTGCCCAAAGTCGGCGGCTTTTTGCCCTGTGAAGGCACAAGATCCCGCGTGGATGAGGTTCGGATGATTGGTTTGGGTCCGGACTCTGGGGTGAAAGGCAAGGGTGCGCGGAGATGCGCAAGCACGGTGTGCTTCCTCTGTTGGCGGAACACCACCAATTCCCGCATTGCCAGCCTGCTTCCTTGGACTGTACAGTAGTCGAGATCCATGTCCAAACAAGGACGCTTCGACAATGCGAAAGACTCGGTCATGAACGATTCAGTCTGGTGAGTGAAAATCTAGGCTGCGGGGGGCCCAAGAATTCAGGACACTCGCTGCGATCAATGGTGGTTGGCTTCCTTCATGGAATGACGTGTCGGATTTCATTGGCTCCCATCGAGTCGAGATTCCCTAACATGCGGACCGAGTCCCGACGCAGAGGAACAGAGCGCATTGCGCGTACAGTGCATCGTTACCGCATTCGAAGTTTCCTGCCACCAAGCAGAACCCCCAGCTGACGTCGATACAAGGCGCGAACTCCAGCCAATCACAGGGGTGGGTTGGGTCATAATCAAAAGCCATGTGCCTACGCATTGTAGAAACACTGACAACAAATCTGCTTAGGGGTAGCTGTTGCAATTTGTTCACAGCAAGATGTGCTCATGTGCTGCAGGGGATGCTTGCATAGTCTCCCTGTTACCTCATGAAAGTAAATGGCTCTCAGTGTACAAACATTGCAGTATCTGTGATGCTCTGTGAAAGGAGGCTCTGTGTTGCCCTCCCTGTAACCTCATGAAAGTAAATGGTTCTATTTGAGTGTACCAACATTGCAGTATCAGAAATTAAACAGCCGTGTCTCTCATAGGCCAAGAACTACCGGTATCATCTTCCTCAAGGTGAAACAGCCAACCAAACCATTGTAGTGCACATGCTCTACACTTGTGCTTTGATCTCCACACCACAAGCACAAATGCACACACAAGAATCTACCGTAGCAGTTTGTTTATCCTCACCTGCTAAGCACGAACACCACACCAGTGGAAAATCAGCCACAGCAGAACTCAGGAACGAATAGCAAAAGCTAGCTACGGATGTCAACGCAGGGATTCATCAATTCAATCATTGCATGGAATCATTGCGTGGGCTTATCCTGGCTCTGATGCCTTGTCATAATGTCGGCAACAAGCTCTTCAGACAGTCGCCCCGTTTTCTGGAGACAGGGCAGGGGATGGGGTGGGGTGGGTGGGAACAATTAGGGCAGATTTCAGCATGAATAGAATGAATAGGAGACGAGGGTAATTGCAGGCTGACGGGCAAAAATCCGGTTCTTTTACAGAACAAATGAAATGGCGCAAACATTTTCGAGACGGCTCAAAAGACCAGGGAGGGACAGAAGGGGAAACAACGTCCGTGAGAGGTAGAGAAACAAGATTAGGGGTGAGGAGAGGGAGTTGGCAGTACAGTTCACGGTTACACTATAAAAATAAAATTGCTGCATAAGAGGATAGGATATCAACAAGTGGGTCAATAGGGAGCACAAGCGGGGCACTATTGAACTGACTTCTGAGTCGACTCAAAAGTGGTGGGGGTGGAGGCTTTTGTAGGCACCTGAAAAGTCGGTCCGCCACATAATGCCAAGGGGACATCGTGAAACACATGGTGCCAAGGACCATTGTGTGCCAGGAAATTTGTGGCACACATGGTGCAACGGAAGATTGTGAAAACATTGTGTCACGGAACGGAACCATACCTGGAGATAACTTGCGAGGCGTCTCAAAACATGGTGCCAAAGGACATTGTGAAACACATGGTGTCACGGAACCATACCTGGAAATGCCTCATGTGGAGGATCGGCAAGTACCCCAGGTCCGCCACCGTGCCCGGACCAAGAGGCTCGGCAAACTTGTCAGGCTCGTACGGTGCCAGGCGTGTGAGAGCATCGTCTCGACCCAACATGTGGCACACAGACATTAGGGCGTCTAGAGAGTTCATCTGAAGGAGAAGGGGGGAATGGGAGTAATGGAGATGGATGAATGAGTGAAAACGACACGAGACCTGCGGGCATCAGCTTGACCCAGCATGTGGCAGACAGACAATACGGCGTCTAGGGAGTTCATCTGAGGGGGAGAAGACAAGGAGAATGGGAGGCATGGAGAGGTATAGAGTGGGACGGGAACCACACACAGAAATGAATGAAGGGTATGGTAGCATCGGCTTCACCTAGGATGTGGCAAACGGGCATTAGGGCGGCTGTTAAGTTTATCCGAAGGGAAGAAAAATGGGGAGTTAAGAGTAACAGAGATGCGATCCCCCTTTCCTCCCATTCCCTTCACGCCTCTCACAATCATGGACGGACTCAAGGGACATCCCTCATCGCACATCAGCTTTCTCCCCTCTTCACATGCTGCATACATGTGTGTTTCGCCCACTCCTTTCCATTCCCCCGAACAACCCTCGCCGCCATCACCTCATATACGGGCACAAGGCACAGCCCCCAGTAACAGAACACCTTCCGCTACCCATTCTCACCCAGCCAAGTCGACCCACCTTCATATACGGCCACAAGGCACAGCCCCCAGTAGCAATGCACCCTTCTCCTTCTTTTAACCAACTGCATGTATGTGTGTTTCCCCCGTCCCTCTCACGCCTCTCACCTTCATTCATGTACGGGCACGAGGCACAGCCCCCGCTGACAGAGCACCCTTCTGCTCCCATTCCTGTACGTGTGTGGTGCCCCCCTCCAACCCCCCCATTCCCTCCATTCCCCCTCTTATAAGCCGACTCACCTTCATGTACGGGCAAGAAGCACATCCCCCGGTGACAGAGCACCCTTCTCCTCCCTTAACGCCTGGCACCACTGGCAGCATTGCTGCTGCCACTGACCCTGCTGCCCTTTGGGTTGACTCAAATGTCTGTTATTTGACTCTAAAGTTTCCTTTCACCTTCATGTGTGGGCACAAGGCACAGCCCCCGGTGACACAGCCCTCTTCTTCTCCTCCCATTCCCCTGCGTGTGTCGCCCCGTTCCCCCACCCCCGCTCTTTTGAATCAGCTCACCTTCATATACGGGCACGAGGCACAGCCCCCGGTGACAGAGCACCCTTCTCCTCCCTTAACGCCTGGCACCACTGGTAGCATTGCTGCCGCCACTGACCCTGCTGCCTTGCCATTGCCCCCACTGCTGCCACTGCTGCTGCTGCTGCTGCTGCTAATGCTGCTGCCATCCTCCTTAGTAGAAGCAACAGCAGAGCTGTCTACAGGAAACACTATCTCTACTTCCACATCAGCTGCACCATCAGAACCGCTCTCAGCCTTCGCCAATTCGTCCTGCACCGCTTGCACGATGCTGGTAACCATTCCAGTCTCTGTTCCCAACACAAACTGCAACCTCTCGCCTTCGTAACCCCTTTCCAACGCCTCCCTCGTTCGGGCAGTTACAAAATCAAGAATGTTTTGCGTTGACCCAACAGTGCCGCGGCCCCTCGCACGCGCCTCCATTGCCAGCGCAAACATTTCTCCGGGCACCTCGAAATGTGCCGTGTGGAAAGCGTCAGAGTATGCCGCCCGGAGCCGCGAAACAACCTCCTGCCCAAACATGTCGTGGACAATGCAGGCACCTTCCTGGAAGTATCTTATCCGAGGCAGGAGCGCGCGGAGCGAGGCTTGGGTGTGGTCTGGGTGAAGCAACCGAACCTCATCGTCAGGTACGGAAGCGAGCTGCTGAAGCATCTCGACCAGATTCGCTCCCATGTACGTGTCTGGTCCGTACCAAAGGGTCAGGTCCGGAACTTGGGCGAATGCCTGGCGTGACGAGAAAAAGAGAGAACAGGGTGGGGTGGCGGGGATGGGGATGAAGGGACGAGAAGGGGGAGGTTTTGATACGCAACTTCACCAGAATTCTAGAACGAGAATGGCAACGAAAAGGATAATGACGACTGGACGGACAAGTGAGGAGCAGGAGGGGAGGGAGGGGGGGCGAGGACAAGGAAAAGCAGGACCAGACGGGTGAGAGGGGGAGTGAGGCGGGGAGAGAGGGGTGGAAGAGCGTGGGGGGAGATGAAGGGCGGGTGGTAGAGGTTGGTTTAATAAGGTACCATGTTGCTTGGTTTAGAAGCTGTTTTGTTTTTTAGATACGCTTCAAAACGAGCTACCATCACGTGGTTAACTTAGGCAAAAAAATCCTCGTTTTAATACCTGTTGCATCGTTTCAACACGTCTCAAAACAAGCTCATTATCATGTAGTTAAGGAAGGTAACATGTTCCTTGCTTTAGCACCCTTATGTTACCACCCAAAGTTCATGTGTTACCAGCCATAACTCCCTGTGTCACCTACCGTTCTCCTTGAAATACCAGCGGCGCACCTGCAAAACGGTCTGCACCACGTTGGACGACGTGCGTGAGATGAATGACACGCACATGTGTACCACCCGCACGCCGTTGACAGCATACCGGTGACGGTTGCTTACCTGCAATATCAGTGACAGTTTGGCGGCTTACCTGCAAAACGGTCTGCACCACGTTGGACGACGTGCACGAGATAGTCGGCACCGCATGATGCGCCACGGCTTTAGTATCCAGCGCCGTGTTGATATAGATCACGTGCAGCGACTTAGGCACCGTCGAAGCCTCCGTAAGATACCTCTCGTACGCGTCGCTCCGCGCCGCGTCCGCCAACGAGCACCCGATGGGGGACGCCGCCATTCGCACGACAGGCACGTGCGCGAAGCCGCCCTTTTCAAGCACGCAACGCACGTTCTCCGCCATAAAATCCACCCCCAGGACTGCGATATAGTCACACCCCTCCTGCGCCATCTTCAGCGCTCCATCAGCCATCACCAGCGAATCCGAGATCTTGATGTGCGGCCAGGATTTGCGCGCCGCGACCAGCACGCCCTGAACTTCCGCGTCCATGTAGAAATGCGCCACGACGCCTACGCGCTTGTTAGATAGCTCCTTAACTAGCGCCGCGACTGCCGCGTCGTTCGGTCGAAGGTACTGCGCCTGGGTCACCGCGAAATCCCCGCGAGCGGTGATCGACCCGCCCCGGCCGATCACGATTGACGGTAACGGAGCCACTGACGGAGTCCGTCCGAGTGCCTCAGCCGCGAGGGCGCGCGCGCGTTTTTGCAGGGAAAGGAGGAGGCTTACAAAGGTGGATGTGCGTACAGCGGGGGCGGCCTTACCGGGAGATGCGCCGGCGGCGGCGGGTTTTAGGGCGGCAGAGAGTGCTTTGACTGCCGGTCCGTTAGAATCTAGCGCTAGCGCGGCGCTGACGCTGCGGCCGTTAAAGATCCCTATGAGGAGCTGGCAGATGCCACGTGTCAAATCCGAATCGCTATCGGCCTGCAGGCGGAGATTGAGACGGGAAAGTTCTGTGCCGTCAGTTGATGACGTGTCTTTCTCAAGTTCCACGTGGAGCCACACCTGCGCGACGCAGCCCATGACACGATTCTCACGCGCGCGCAGTGCAGGCGCGGGGGGGGTTCCGCCGTGTAGCTCCCGCGCCCACTGCAACAACCGCTTCGTCCGCGCCCTACCATCTGCGGAACCTCCCCCTAAACCCTGACCCCTCTCCTCCCTCGTCTCTCCCTCTCCCTCTGCAGCAGCATCAGCAGCAGCTACAGCCTCTGCCGCTACATCATCTAGTTCCTGTGCGGCCCGAAAGACGGCAGCTTGCACGGCCTCCGCTTCCTCCCTCGCCCGACCCTCAAGCGCGCCAAGCTCCACCCGCTCGTCCAGCGACGCTTCTGCGACGCTCGCAGCAGCGGCTGCGACGTCGCTCGCCGCGGCTGCGACATGGCTCCCGGCTGCTCTCACAGACTTATTGGCCGACTCGAAATGCACGAAGCTCTGACGGGAAGCGGGAGATTCGTGAGATCTCGGGGAGGCCTTCGACGTTCGACGATGGTTTTTGCGGTTTCCCCGATGCAGCACGTTGTTCCTGGAGGCTGAGTCCGCCGAGTATGCTCTTAACGAGGATACGGCGGTAGAGGTATCGTGGGATCTGAAGCTAGGAGAGGGAGTGTGGAGTGGATAAGAGGAGCGTAGAATGGAAGCATGGTTGCTGGTGGTAGGAGGAATGGGACTGATGGTCGGTGCAACGAAAGAGGACTTGATACCTGATGCGGCCAACGGACAGGATGAAGCCATGTCAGCAAGGACTAGGGAGTGGAACTAGAGCCACGTAGAACGTTAAGGAGCAACGCAGGTCGATGCGAAAGGAACAGGGCGAAAAATCGGCCACTCGTCCTTGGTTCCGTCCTAAGGAACCAAGATACGTAATGAAGACGAAGTGGAGATGAAGTGGGAGAACTCGAGGTAGTCTAGTCTGAAGCCAGATCCCGAACAGCTGAAGTTCTCGAGGAAGCCACTTTCATCAAGTTTTTCAGGAGCGGAACAGCTCAAGTTTTGAAGGAACCAGAAACGCTGAAGTTCTCGAGGAAGCTGTGGCTGTGGTTTGCACGCAAGTTGCGACAAGAAGGTAACCACTAGTCGTGAGGCGATAGTGTCCTCGCGAAGCCTAACGACGCGATGCGTAACAGAATATAGCAGCAAAAAGGTCCTCGCGAGGCCTCACGACTCATTGCGAAATGTCTCTTGGAGTTCACGAAAATGTGGATGAATGGGGCTTGTGCATGTGGCTCTCGAGTTCCACGTGGAAACGGTTCTGCCCAAGGCCACTCCCCAGCCAGTGACAACCTCGCAGCAGCCGCAAATTTCATGCCACGATGGCGATGGCCAATCAGGCAAGCTGCCTCCCCTCACCGGGGCACAGCACTTTCGCTAAGTGAACTGCTTCAGAAACGGACAACGTCCCAGCATTTCACATTGTTACAAAAATTGTTTACAGAATATAGGAAGATTGGCTCATTATTTTGCTTCACAGATGCATGGATACTACTATGTATACCTCTGGGGCATTGATCCTACACCAACCCAGGCAAACACATTACTACTATAGAAATCAGAGACCCAAATATTGGCATGCTGCTGATGGTTACCTTATGCATTACATGCACGGTAACCAGCAGCAGCATCCAATAATTCAGCTGAGGCGGCTTGTATATACCAGTCCATCATGCCTGGGGGGGAATAAAGACCCCAGTGCCTGCAGCGCTTTGGGGCTGGAGGAAGCGTGGTGGCTGGAACCTCCTCTCTCCTCCGTCCCTCTCAATCTCAACAGGCAAGCGCTTGTGCTGCTGCTCCATCCACTCCCTCTGTTGCTGCTGCTGGAGGTGCATTGCCTGCTGAAGCCGCATCTGGTTCAGGTGCATCTGGTTCTGATGCATCTGGTTCAGGTGCATCTGGTTCAGGTGCATTTGGCTCAGGTGCATCTGGTTCAGGTGCATCTGCTGCCAGTACATCTGGTTCATCTGCTGCTGCGCCAGAAGCTGCGGAGGGCATCCCAGGAACCCGTGGTGGAGGGATGGCGGGAAGATCGGAGCGCCTGACGCGTGCACAGCACGGAAACCGATTGGCTGACCCAGAGCGCCTGTGCGACCCACGGGAACAAATGGGCCTCTTTTATCAGAGGAGAAAGCATTCTTCGTAGCATTCGCGGACAATGAGTTGTTCTGGAGCTTGGCGAAGGAAGCGGGAACCTCGTGAGTGTACAGGTCTTCCGGAAGCCTAATCTCCTCAATTTCCCGGCGGTCAGAACACGCGCCTCGGGCACTTAGGGTTTCAGGCCGCAGACGCCTCTCAGCTTCGAAATAATCGACACCAACGTCGACTTCCCGATGATGCGAGACGCGATTTTGCCGCAACACGGATCGGGGCGACGCGCGGCCGTCTGACGAGTCGCCAGTCGAGGCCGCGGAGCGCGGCGAGAAGCAGGAGAATGTGGACGCGGTGGAGCAGGTCTCGTCCGACGAATCGTCGCTCGCGGCATCTGAGGAATCGGACGAGTTGTCGTTCTCGTCGCCCACGTCGCTGCAGTCGCTAATACTGGTGTGTACCGGCATGAGGTGCGGCAGGTTTCTTTTCCCCACAATACATTCTGACTGTTTCATGTCATGCGCTTTGACAGGCGACACGAGAGACTGTACCAACTTGCACGGGCCGCTGGCATCAAACTGCCTAAACCAGGCAAATACTTCCGTGGCGGTGCAAATTACGCAGCTGCTGAGCACCGGGCAATGATGCAGGTGTCCGTGTTCATCTTCGACGGTATTCTCACATCGGCGCAGATGGAAGTGATAATGACCTTCCTAAAGTGGTATTCGGCATGCTTCCGTGTTCCCGAGCACACGAAGGCCACCATCAAAGTTGTCATCCGACAGCAGCAGAAGTGAGTGGTTGACTGTCCGTTCTGCCTGCTGAATGTACCTGTCTGATAACAAAGTAATGCGTACGCACCCACGTGTGAGATGGTCCTCATGCTAATGTCGTGTGAATGTATCAGTTTGATGGCGCTGTTGAAGCGGGAATTTCCCACTCAAGCTTCGAGCTGGAAGCTGGTGAAGGTTCATGCCCTCACCCATTTGCCGTATGCCATTGAAACACGCGGGGTACCTGAGGAGTACTCCACAAACCTGTTTGAGCACAGCCATGTGGGGCTGGTCAAGCGTCCCTACCGGTCATCTAACCGACGGCAGATTGCGCGCGCTATCATCACCGCAGATGATATCCGCCGGGCAATGCGCTCACTCCCCACGCTGATTCAGTGTAACCGCAACTACACGAGTCCCATGGCTCAGGTAAAAGTATCCCCTTGCAGGCAAACCCTCACCCGTGTGTTTTACAGCCATATGTGTTTCACTTTTTCACAAACCCGAACATGTGTGGTATGTGTGGACTTACTCTATGCACCATGGCATGCAGGCTATGCTCACGGGCCTGCCCGTGATGACACTTGCTAGCACTCCCATGGCGATCGAAGCTATGGAAGGTGATGTGCGCCGGCCGTTGGACCCATGGCTGGCATTCGACCGAGCCTTGCCTGGGTGCATGCCCCATTTCGCACCAGCTATGAGGCAGGCTGGTCTGACAGTCCAGTCCATTCAGGTATGTAGAATGCTGTATGGTGTAGCTGGCGAGCAAGTGGTTCTTATTGCACTGCACGCCCCTTGATACTGCCCTATATTTCTTGGCTAAAAAAGCGTTCCCCCCCCCCCTTCCATACACCTATGTGTGCAGGTGCACTCAGCAGTTGCTGTGTCCTTTCCCAACGAGTCAGACAATCACGCAGATTCCACGGCCTGGGTGAGGGCCGCACCAAGCTTCCACGGGAAGCCATGTTTCTCATTTGTGTTCTGGAAGGTTGAGGGGGAGCAGCTGCTGGGGAAGGTGCTGGTGTTGTTCAAGGTTCCAGGGGGTAGTGACTCTGGGTTTGCGTTCATACAGGTGCTGCAAAAGCACAGGGTGGACGAGGAGACAGGTGCTGACACTTACAGGTTGCGTGCGCCAGAGACGGATCCAGCATGCTACCTGGTGGTTCCAGTCGAAGCCATTGTGGAAGTCATACACGTCGTGCGGTCTGTGATCTCGACTATTATGTCAACAGATATGTCATGTGAGCGGCTTTACAATCAGCCTGCCGATCGTACTAAGCCTGGAACATTTGTGTTTTTTTAACAGTGCGTGGATAGCTGTGTGGCGTTACCTGTAATGTTTAAGAAGGTGTATTGTTAACTGTAGGCGTGATGAAGCCGAAGTCACGAGTTTAAACCACCTTGACTGTCGTGCTGTGGCAAGAGTTGGCTCATGTGATAGAATGTAATGACTAAATTGTGAAACTGACTATACATCTATGTGGCCAGTGCTGATATGTGTATAGTAATGCATAATTTGCAACCATATCTCGCACGTGTTCTGGGTCATGCAATAGAGGGGCAATGCACTTAAAGCCGGCGGCCCAAATTGTTCATGCTTTTAAAAGTTGACCAGAGGGAGTTTTTCTGGTGTGGGCTTTGGCGAGAGTTTCCGATTTCGTCTAGGTTCGTTTTTTTCGCGAGACCCAGCCAACCCTCGGTTTTCCCCCTGGTGAGTGAATCTGTCTTCGAAAGTCCCAAATTGCAAGTGCGTGACTTTCAAAAGCTTGGACACTCAACTTCGTCAAGTTTTAAAAACTTGACCCTCGCGGCCCGCAATTTGGGACGCGGGCTTTAAGTGCCCTAGCTCATCGGCGTTCAATTGCATACGCTACGGTATCGATGGCTACCAGAGGTAGAATCATCTTCGCATGCTTACTATTCTTCCTCCAAACTGTAGCGTGTCATACCTCGTATTGTATCGAGTTTTAACCAGGCTTGAACCATAATTGACGGTGTTTGCGACTGTTTGTGCTATTTGTACCACCCGCAACTGGCTGCCGATGGAAATGCACCTGTATTTTTCGGATTGTATCGATATTTTTCCAATCAACCGTTCATGGAAGTACATGGGTGGTAGGTGCATTGTCGGCCTGTAACCCGTCCTACTATGTAGGATTCCGCAAAGTGTGTGTACATCGCGAGCAAAGCAGGTACATAGCCTTCAGATCACTCGATTCACAACGACCAGAGTGCGTAGCGTCGTGCGCACGTAAAGCGTAGTTCATCCTAGGGTGTCCGAATATCATGTAATTTCATCGAACGTACTATACGCACACCCTCGTCGTGGGTACGAAGTAACCACTCCATGGTTTGGTATCCCAACCCCCCCACCAAATGTTTTGGGATGTCGCAGCTGGTTGCATTAATGTCAGCAGCGCATTCGTGGTCGCCCGAATCCGCGCTGCTGTGCGGGGATTCCTTCGGAGGGACCGTGCTCCACACGTTGTTCCCCCCAAAACTGTGGGTTGGGAGAAATAGGCGTCTCGCGGGTTTCGTCAGCTGCTTCATGTCGGTGTCTAGGAATTCCTTGGCAACTTCAAGGGGTGCCGAGCAAGAGATGAGGGAATCCATATCGAATAAACTTATTGCGGCTAATACTGAATCCAAAGTTCTAAGGTATCGGAAGCTGAACAATGACGATGTTGTAAGCTGGTGTCGGTTCTCCTTTGGCTGTCGAAAGAAGCTGAACTGCGTCGTGGGTCGGTAGTTGCGTGATAGACTGGAAGAAGTGGTTGTTTTGCTGTGTTGAAATCTGCTCGTCATTGCGCCTATGTATGAATTGTTTCAGTACAAAACACCTGCTTGTCAGACGAACGAATTTGGCTGATGGATGAA